TTTTATGTTGGGATTGTTATAACAGGGTATGTTGCCTGGCGTCACTTTATATTGAGCATCTCCAGATAATGATGGTCTAACATAGACACATGCATAAAAAAAGTAATACGGATCATAGGTTGACTGCATGATTACAGCAGATAAATGACCACCGCCTTCGACGAGCATCCCAACATAAAACAATAAAAGATTTATAAAGAAAAAGAACACCAGTATCACCAGGATTAAGAAATTTGTGAATTTGCTATAAATTCCATGCTTGATTGTAAAAAAAGTCAAACACTTGTAGGCCAAGCATGCAAACAAAAGGAAAAAGGCAAAAACGATCAAACAGACCTTCAACGTACAAGTATGGCTTGACTTTGGAAGTTCCCAAATCAGACAGCCGATAGAGTATAAAATAAAGCTAAGCAACAAAAGGAAATGCCAAAGATAAGAACTGGCTTGGAGAATGGGAGAACTTTTCCAATAGAATAAATAAATAATCGTTGCGATTGAGACGAAAAAGATGATGCTGAAGATAATCATGAAACAGACTCCAATGATTGAGGATAGCGAAACTTCTTCTGGAAGAAGCCCACTAGATTTGATGTTTGAAAAAGATGAAAAGTCGTCAATAAGCGATATTTTGTACACTTGGCCATTGTGTATTTCAACATTGTATAGCGATAGGTCTCCGCCAATGCGACGGTAGTTTTGGAATTCGATTTTTCCTGTAAACCCGTAAAAGGAAATGTTAGACAAAAAAGTGTCAAGCATTTCGAAATTGCTATGCCCCATCCTTGTCATCTTATCGATTGCAAGCGTTGCAAAAGCAACAGAATCAAAGATAAATGGAATTACCCAAAAAATCTCATTGTCACTTGACGTTCCCACCTTGTACGAATGAAGATCGGTTGTTTTTTTATAATAGGAAGAAAAAACCCCAGCATCTGAATTGACCATGACACTGCTGATGGCACCGTTTGGGGTCGAATCTGGGTCCGAAGGTGGTCTTTGTAAATTTAGCTTTTCAAGAATGCAATTTTTAGCCTTTTCAGGAAATTCAGATACTGTGGGCAAAAATAAAAACGTCTCTACACAATGAAACAAAGTTATCCTTACGCTTTGCAGGMAACTCGAGAGGAGAGTTGTTTTCTGTGAGCTTGATTTGCTCAAGTATTGAGGTTGAAGGAAAAATAAAAATCGAGATTTTGTCGTCAAATTCCTTTGAAAGCACATTGATGGACTTTACGCAATCACCGTATTCCATCACCAGAATTACAATTGAGATTGAATAGGACTTGATGCACGCCATGGCCTTTGAAAGTTCGTCCTCCATGGAGCCCTCGATGAGAACCGTCTCACATGCCACAGATAGAAGAGCAGAGTTTGAAAATTGCCCCGTGTACTTTTCTTGCAGTATTTTCTTCAGTGCAAGGGTAAAAGAAAGCTTCCCCAAAACACCAATTCTTGAATTTGAATAAATTATTGAAATTAAAGACCAATTTCGATTTTCAAAAAATTTAAGCAATGAATATGCCATATGATCTTCATCCGGCAAAAAGTAAAAATAATGCGACTCATATGGCATCGGCATCTTGTAGCTTGATTGCGACGTGAGAGAAATACAAGCGCAAGAATCGATGCTTTTTGGAACCGGATAATTATAAAAACAACAGATTGCGGAGTTATTCTTGGGAACTTCAAGGTCATGTGAGCGTTTTGATAAAGGCAAAATTTGATAATGCGGCAGTATGTTGTCGTCTGAGTTAACAAACTCGATTGAGCACTGAAAAGATGCATAAAATTGATCTTCAAACGATGATGCGATAGACGGTGAATAGGACTTTCTTACTTGCGATCCGATTGACGCATCTATGTAGAAATAAATATTTTCCCTGGTTTGATCCTTTAAGGAGCAGCAAAACGACCGCAGTATTAGCCAGAATGTGAGCAGGCAAAGATTCACAAGAATATGCATCCTTTATAGTTGAGATATCCGGACTCTTGGATATAGATATTCTATTCTATTGCAAATCTATTCCTAAATATCCCTGTCAGATGCTAAATAGTATTTTACAATATGACTCATCATATAAGGCCAGGGTTAAAGCGAAACAGCGGCAAAGGGACTATCAAATTGAGATCTGTTGGGTTAGTTGACAATCTACCCCGTGATTTATTGGAATTGATCAAAAAAAGTTCCCCTTCGCCATTCTGATGCGTTTCAATTTGATGCCAAAACATCCGCATCCCAACAAGCGACTTACCACGCATGCCGACATGGGTAAATCCAGTGAAAAGCACACCCAAACGCGTGCCAATAATTCTGGAACACCTCCCCATGGTTTTGGAACGCGTCCCAATAATTTTCAAACGCGTTGGGATTAAAATCGCGTTCTCAATTTGAAATTTACAAACTTTTATATGCCACAAAATACATTTAAACATTTTTCAAAATTTTGATGAATTTCTTACAAAGTGCAATTAGGACAATTCTATATTTTTACTCGATCGCCATTTACCTGTGCATCCAATGGCTGTGTATATTGTCTAAGGTTATCGAGTTTGTTAGTAAGTTTTGCGTTGCTAATGCAGGGTTCTCATATCATTCAAAACAGGAATTTTATTCATCCCATCATAGCTTGGTTGAAAACTTGATGGCACTGTTCTCCGTGGTGTCACAGCGGCTTTCAATTCAAGCTGTTTCGTGGATAAATCACCAAATATGTGCCATAATTGTCATCAAAGATCTTCAAGAACGCTTGTCAAATATTGAGGGTTTTTGTTTGACTTAATTTCTAGGTGAAGTTGTCTCTGTTAAAAATCAGTTTGCAAAGGTAGCACTTTTTCGCCCATCGCTAGGATTCGTTTGATAAAGTAACAGAGACCGATGACCTTCATTCAAAAATTAAGGTCTTGCAGCAATCCGTATCACTGCCATTCAATATCGTGTAGGTTGAAAATATAAATGTAAAAATCTCGATCATTAGAAAGATTCTCAAGAGCATTGAGGTTTCGCATCGATCTATCAATTCGTCTTCTTATGAGATCGAGTCCATGGCGCTACCGGGCTTTGGCAGCGAGCCTGAGAAAGAGACGGAATGTATCCTCAAAGATCCTCTCGATTACTCTGCCGTCCATTCAACATATTACTAGGATCTTGCAATAAATAGAATCGATCCAAATTTTATTGTTGCTAAGCTTTCATTTTTCCAATTTCGGTGAATGCTTTGTACATTTAAACGGAAGCGCTGGGTTTGTTGTGGGGCTTTTACATGGAGAAATAGATAATCTATGGCAAGATTTGGAAATCAGTGCAGGTGGCGTGATTGGCAGTTCGGAGAATTTTCTAACCACCCTGACGGGGCTTTTTTCAAAATAAAAATCTAGAGTTTTTTTCACAGGAGATGATGTGGCTTTGATATTTACACAATTGGAAGAATTCTCCACATGGCTTTTTTCCGGCTTGGCGGCCTCCATGGTGGCGATTGTTGAGCGAAAGTATGTTGTGATACTTGATGGACCTTGTACTGATTTCCAAATCTTTTCAAAAATGGCGTCACAATCGCCAATCAGCTGCACGTTGAAAACAGAATTCCATTCTTTTTGAGGCAGTGGGGTTTTGTTGATGAAAACAGTCATGCACGACAATGGAGCCATTCGCTTTATCAATTTTTTCACCCCAATAACTTTGCATGATGTTCCGACAACGAACAGAATTATCTCTTTTTTCCTTCTAAGAACGGATTCATCTTCGAACAATGCAGAGGCAACCACGTCGCCCTGTTTGACTTCAAGATTGGGAACGGTGTTTTTGGATGAATTTACATGGTTATATAAAAGAATCGGAGGTGTAAGCACTCCAACCGGAAGTGACCGTTTTCCAGATACTATCCTAGCGTTTACACGATCCAGACATGAGGGACATTTGTAAGGAATTCCATCACTTTCGTACTTGACATAGTTGTCGTTTGAAAATGTTTGTCTATATGCACATATGGTACAGCAAAGATACTCTAAGCTGCCATGTAAATAGACGATCTTTTCAGCAGGCAATGTTACCTTTCTCTCCAATCCATCAATATTTTGGGTATAAATCCTTAGTAACTTTTTTGAGGAACTCAAAAAAGAAAAAAAGGAGTGGGTGGTCGTAGGCGAAGCAAGATCGCTCAGTCTTTTGAGCATGCCAAGAAACGTAAAGTATGACTTGGCGACTCTTTCGTCCGATGATGAAAGAATAGATGCATCAAACAAATGTTGTCCCTTGGACAGGATTCCTGGAAATCTCTTTTCAACCATTTTGTAAAGCCCATCATTGTGAGATCTGAAATCCTAACCATAAGAAGCATAAATTACAGGAATTCCGGCATTCACAGAAATACCTGCCCCAGTGACTGCCACCACAGTGGTGTTCTTTCTGCCGATCATGGAGGCAATTTGGGATATCTTGGAAAGTACATTCTCCGAATTTCCTTTGAGCGAGACATCTAGAATCTCATTTTCCTTTTGACCCTTTGAAAACGTAGAGGGGAACAAAGAAGGCTTTTGTCCCTCAGCTAGCATCTAGGGTGCAAATTAATAAAATGTAACTTATTTTGCAAATTAATTTATTTATGTATCCGATGTGCAGTCTGCTTAGACCGTTCCCAATGTCTGTTCAGTGTTTACGCTCAAAGAGCAGCATGACATTACAAACGGTGATCAAAGACAAACCAATGCCCGAAGCTAATTATCAAATTAAAAAAAATCGCTCGGTTGATAAATGTTGGGCTGTTCCCACAAAAATATTGAGGAAAGCCCAAAAGAACTACCCCAAAAGGCGGCAGCTTTTCTTGGATGGCAATGAGTCAAATATTATTCCCCTTCCTACGCACATCGAACCCTTTATACTGCCGCTAGTTAAGCTTGAGGTTAATTACTGCTCACATAACAAGGATTCTGATGCTTTGAGGTAGCTGCTCTTTTTTGCTTTCCATTAGGGAATATCTATCGGAGCATATGGTAAATTATGCAAAGGAGCATCCTTCTGTTGAATTTTTAATTCGACCGCGGTTCTCCAAAGTGCCACAGGCAATTGCAACATATAGTATTTCAATATCTTCTAATCCCGTAGACACTGGTCGAGTGGAGGTAATTTCTTTTAAAAAGAAAAACATACACCAAATTCATGAGGCCCTAATGGATTTGAGAAATGGATCCGGACTGGAACCTAAAAAATTCCACATTGGAGTTAATAGCCATGCCCCGGCAATTAGAAACTTATGGGACCCATGGCATGGGGCAAATTTGTGTCCATTCAACGGAACTGAACAACAATGGAGGCGGACTCTCAAGTTTTCTCGCGTGAAATTGGCCCAGCAGAGAAAATCAGAAAAGGCTGCCTTGTTGAAGAATTTTTCGACTTTATATGACAATTCAAAGCACCAACTAACTTCTAGACTCAATCGCCTTGAAAAATAAAACCAATTTCATGCAACAGCAATCCGTAGTTGGAAAATTGGTCCTTTTATCTCCTGTATTTTTTATAATTTTTAGTAATTTGTTAACTTGGTCTTGATCAGCCCGGATAGCTCAGTCGGTAGAGCGTGAGGCTTTTAACCTTAAGGCCGAGGGTTCGAGCCCCTCTCCGGGCGACTTTTTAAATATTTATATTAATCTAGCGCTACTTTTTAGAACCAATTGCAGAGCAGATTTAAATGGCATCCTGAAAATGTCTCCTTTTTTACACGATACAGACAGCATCAAAATAGGATCGATCATATACTCACCAATGTCTTCTAATATCAAACACGTAACGTGGCCGTTAATTTGGGGCATTGAACCTGATACCAGCCCATTATCAATAACTTGACAATCATCAGAGATCAGCCTTTTCTTGATTGGCTCAGGAAAGTGGCTATACAGCTTTTCGATCAGAAATTTGTCTGTAGATTTACGAATGTTTTCCAGATGGATCTTCTCGTGGGGCATTAGACACGATTCTGATTTTGAGGGTGTAATATTATACAGCTGGACGTTTAGTTTTGCTATCCGGATTTCAATATAAGAGCGGGAAAGGTACTTGACTCGTTCCAAATCCATCAGTTTTATAGTATTCATGTATGCCTCAATGTTTGAAGAGAAATTCTCGACACTTTCGAAAGATCTTTCTTGGAACTCGATTGCCTCTTTGATTTCCTCCAACAATGGGGTAAAGGGCGGCAAAATGAGGGGAGATGACCTTTCATTAAACAGTGCATTTTCCAGAGCTTCCAAAAGTGAATGTGTCTGTGCTGGCAGTTCGTCCTGTTCGGGCTGTGACACCAACGCATCACAATGGGAATCAGAAATGCCAATTTGGTCCATTTTGAATATTTGCCTGTCCTAATTGAATAAAATGCCCAAATTGCTATTTAAACGACAAACTTTGGGCCAAATGCCCTTGCACATCAAATAATTTTGCATTCAGACGGTTTGTTACATGAAAATTTGCACCCACAACGGCCGGTTTCATTCAGATGAAGCTTTAGCATGCGTTCTGCTGAAAATGCTTCCCGAGTTTTCAACAGCTGGTTGAACCACTCTTTTTATTCGTAGAAATCATCCGTACTCGCGACCCCGAAATTATCCAACAGTGTGCGGTGGTTGTTGATGTTGGTGGCGAATATGAGCCATCAAGGCATCGCTACGATCACCACCAACGCTCCTTCATAGATACCTTTTCAACTGAATGCAAAGACCTGCCGGCATCTCCCATTCAGACTGCCACGCGATTAAGCTCTGCAGGCTTGGTTTATAAGCATTTTGGAAGCAAAATCATCGGCCAGCAATATCCCCATCTTTCTGGAGACGACGTTTCTTCGTTGTTTATAAAGATGTATGAGGTCCTCGTTGAAGAATTTGATGCTGTCGACAACGGCATCAACGCTACCGTTGAGACACCTAAATTTGTGGTTGGGACCTCTAGCATTTTCAGCCAAGTCTCGCGCCTTAATTTTATAAGAGGGGAATCTCTGAAAAGTTCTAATCACGAGGATGCGCAGTTTAGAAAAGCCATGGATTTGTGTAAAAGCCTGTTTTTGGATGTTCTTCAGGATTTAGTGTTCAATTGGCTTCCAGCAAAGTCCATTATGACCGAATCGATTGCGGCTCACGAAGGACCCCTGGTAATTTTAAAAGAGCCATGCTCCTGGAAGGATCATATATTTACAATCGAACAAGAAAAGTTTCACGGTGCATCTCCGCTCCTTTATGTATTGTATGAGAAAGAAAATAGCGGCATGTGGATGGCGCAATGTATCCCCAAAACGCCTGGATCCTTTGAAAGCCGGCTTCCATTTCCAGAGCCATGGAGAGGTTTGCGCGACCAAGAACTAAATTCGATCACCGGAATTGATGGCGGAGTTTTCGTCCATGCAACAGGCTTTCTTGCGGGCGCAAAATCGCTTTCCGTTGCGAAGGAGCTCGTCGCTTGTTCGATTGCAATCCAAAATTAAAACAAACGCCATGTTCGATTATTTTATTGCAAATTTCCAGTTAAAGCTGCTAATCACCTGCTGCAGTGGCGGTGAGGGGCTGTTGGGTGGGTTTTTTCGATGGAATCGCTTCCACTTGCTCTATCAAGTACTTTCTTTCATCTAGGAACTGGTCCAAGTCTAATGATAATACAACGCCCATCGCTACCTGGACCGCTGAAATCCATCTCAAATCCCTTTAAAAACGCCAACAACTTTTCTTTATTATTGGAAATGATGTCTACAATTTGCTTTGGTTTGGATGGATTGGCCAGAAAAAGCTAAAACAGGTACCATCTAAAATGCTTACCTTAAACACTTGAAAAGACTCGTACTGAATGTTATGGGACTTGTCCCGCAGAAGAGTCATCAATAGCTTCATGTGGGCAGATGAGGTAATATACATGGACATCACTTCATAATTTGAACGGTCCAATAAAAGCTCCCCAACAAGCTAGGAGATCGTCATTTCAAAGACGTACCTTTAACACTTGCCGCTTAGTAAGATAGTTGGCGGTCATGATGATAGCGTGCAGTTTTGTAAAAATCTTCACATAAAGAAGGACCGGTACCTTTTCGTAGTTGGTCTCCAGGAACTCGGCAACCATGTCTTTATGACGGGTCAATATTTCTTTCAGAGACGCAAATGAATCCGAAGCAATGTCATAATTCGGTGCCTGGACAAACTCCAGCAACATGTCTAACAAAGAATAAACAGACGGCTCTGCCTCCGAATCATCTGAAACGGGCAATCCAAGAGCCTCCTGGGGGCATTTGTATGTAGACAAGTTTGAGTTGAGAAACTTGAGTGCCAAGCACTCCTGCTTTAGAGATTCCCTTAAAAGCATCCCCTTGAACAACGCAGATTCTGGGGGCATCAAATACCTAAAGTGATAGTTGGGCAACATCATGGGTTACCCCAATAATAGATCCTCGAGAATGTTCGGGGTAGCCTGACTCAGGTGCATGGCCAGTGGCGTGTTTCCACCTGCTGAAGAGTTTCCTTCAAACCTGAGAAGCGTCACCAGAAGCTGGAATGCATCTTTTCGTACCTCAAAACACAAGCGCGGTAATGCTGTGATAATGGAAAAAAACAAGTCTCTCTCAATAAACTCCTGATATATGAGGGGAAGCATTGCCCCTTCATCTGGAAGCTGTGTAGATTCGTCGCAAATGTGGATTTTTAGCGTTAATACACATCGCTGAAGCGTAACGTCATCCTACAAACAATAAAATGTACCACAATGTACGGTGAGCTGAGTTGCCTTAATTGCCTCGCATATTTGATTTATCAGATCAATTGGCGATTTGAATTTGATTGGGGAAAGCGGAGATTTACTAGACGATGAAGAAAAGGACGATCCATATAAAAAGGACATTCCGGCGGCGGGAGTGTTTGAAGGAAGACAAATAGGGTTTGGAGCCGATAGGCTTTGATTCAACTTAAAAAAAAAGCCGACATTCCAAAATAAAGAATTCAAATATACGCCGGCCATCCAAATCGAGGTTGCAGACAAATTTTTATTTCATCGCCGTCGTACGTGTATATATATTGCTCGCATGTCTCGCTCTGCTTGACAGCTCTACTCTGTGATAGAGTCTGCCGTCACAAGACATGCGACATTAAATTCAATTACTAAGAATGATGCCATAAACTTTATCAAATGACAATCTGTCCATCGTCACCTGTCATCATTCATAAGCCATTTCGAGCAAAGTAAAGTTAGTTAAAATGAAATTAAAGCTTATATTCAATAAGGAACGGCCAAAACCGGCTATTTAGTTGTTTTCAGCAAGGATCCCAGAAATAGCGAGGAAATTGACAAGGTAACTATACCCACCCATCAGCACTCCCTAGTAACAATAGGTGGATTTAAAAAAGTGAATACAAAAAACACCAGACTTTACCATTTTCTGCATTGTCCGCATTTTCGACCTCTTGGTAGAAGATCGCATAATTTTTTCAAAAGAAGAAGAGGAAACTTGAACACTAAGTGTGGGAAACCGATGAGCCAGCCCAGAAACAACGCTAATCTGCAGCAACTAGCCAGTGCTGAAGATATTGAAGCAGGAAATGGTATTGATAACATTGGTGGGGTATCGATATCGCATCAAAAGCCGCCAAATCGATGGGCAAAGCACTATAAGGTCCTGAAAAGCCTTTTATTTTTATTTGGATCTTGCATTGTGACATACTATTCGGTCATATTGCTTTCAATGTTCGGGGATATTGCCCTGAAAATCAGCTCCGAATTTCAGCAAGAAGGAAATCTTGCCATAACTCCACTCTCCTTCAAGGTACACCAGGAAAAGGCCTACACCGACTACATGGCAAAAAAAGAGGTTGGTCAATGTCTAAGGAGACATCATTCAAAGTGTGCTTATTTATTTATGCGCATTAATTATTTGACTTTTTTCTAATTTCATCCGTAGACTAATCTTCGTCAATGCAAATTGGGGATCGTTTCGTCATTTCCACCCACCAGATGTGGGATTGGCCAATTTGCAGATGACTTGTACGGTGCAATGAAAAATACCCTTCCAGAAAACTGTGATCTTTCTGTGATTGCATTGCATGATTCCTCATCCGGAGGGCCGTTGGCCTCACTATTTAGGTCTTATGATGCGGAAAAGGTGTCCATCATCATTGATTTGGATCAATTGGCACCGTCTCCATCAATTTTGAGAGCTGCAAACAGCATTAATGATGCTGGATTCACCCATCTTCTCTTGCAGTCTGAATTTGGACTCACTCCAGTCATGTGGCAACAGGCCGATTTGCTCCGTTGGATTTCGCCAGAAATTTCGGTTGTCACGGTTTTCCATACTCCAAGAGCCTATCCAAATGAGGAGGAACGTGCGTTCATAAGACAACTTTCGCGGCTTTCTCAGTCGGTAGTTAGCATGTCACACTATGCTTGCCATTCTTTAAAGAATGCATTCGGAGTTCCCGCATCAAAAGTAATGATGATCCCGCACGGTGTAAAAGACATTTATGCCGACATGGGGGATGCATTGACATCAGGATCAGTAACCAAGGACAATCCGGAGAAATTTATACTGCTGTCCGATGGTCTGATTCACGAACATAAGGGATATTTGCGGGTTATTAGAGCGCTTCCGCAGCTTATTAAGTTGATTCCAAATCTTGTGTTTCGAATTGTAGGCAAGCAGCATCCGAAAAGCGCCTCCAGGGGCTTAATGGACTTGTATATCAACGAAGCCCGAACACTGGGGGTTAGAAAACATCTAGAGTGGGTTGATACTTTTTTCACTCCGGAAGAATTGTTAGATTACTACGCCGAGTGTGACGTGTATGTTTCGCTTTATGATGAAATAACGCCAATTTCGGGAACCCTTACAGCTGCCATGGCTGCTGGGTTGGCGATCGTTGCAACGCCATATCGATATGCTATTGAGCTGCTTTCTGAAGATCGCGGAATTCTTCTTTCCTCTTTTGATGTCAATGGCAATCATGGCAACGAATTTGTGCAGTCGATTGTTAAGCTTTATAACGACTTTGATTTTCGCAAGGGATACGGAAAACGTGCCGCCATGGGCGTCTCTTCATGGCGATGGCCAAGAATCGCAAGTGCATATTGGAATCTGCTGTTGAAAAACGATTCTCACATCACGGCTACAGGTGTGCCTCCGATAGTTCATTCGGATCCATTTTTCGATTCTTTGGAAAATACCGCACATTGGCGCCAATCGATGATTGTTGATTTCAATGGGAACCATATCTCTTTTTCCGAGGAAGAAGACCAACAAACGCCCGTGGAAACGCCGTCCGGTTTTACATTTTCTATGCAGCAACCTGATAATACGATGATGGAGCATGTAGTTGAGCCCTTGAATGCTGCTCAAAGCCTATTTTGCCCTGTCGCTGTGGGTCAAAAGAAAAATGCCAATTTACTTGATTGCCTTTACGTGATTTATGCGGATTCTGAAATTCAGGTCAATGGAGCCATTTTTCAAGATGGGACCATTAGAGCGATTGGAATAAGAACCCCTGAGATATATATTTTGGTTCAAGAAGGGCTTCCTTTGGATGTTGAAGAAACCCCAAACACGTCTAAAAAAAACTTTCGCATCCAGTATCAAAATCAACCATCAGGGTTCACGCTCATCACCAACAGTACCACTGTACGTGTGAACAATCCTGAAAACGGAACCGGAATTTCGATTGAATTTGAAAGCATTTCTAGATTTTCGTCCCCTAAAGGGATTCTTGGCTCCACACTGCAATACAAATTTGATGAATTCAAAAAGCAATCCATGGTTTCGCAGCCTGCTGTGGTTTGGTCTGAATGGCGTCTCAACGACGAAAATCTATTTTCAATTCAAAGCACCGGGCAAAGCTGGACGATGTTTTCCATCGAGGCCAATACTTATTATATTCCCGTTCTTCACGACCTTCCAGAAAATTCATTCTCATATCGTCACGAATGGATTTCCATGGCAGAGTCAAGACTTACTCCGGTCCGGCTTACTAGGAATGTTTTCCCACTGTTGTCGGAAAATAACTTTTTGCCGATAATAACCCTTCAGTTTGAAGGGCCCTTCTTTGATTTTTCTGGGTTTGCTACCGTGAATAGGGCTCTATTCATGCAACTGAGCTGGAGAAGCTTCAATTTTATGGTTCGAATTGCACCTACAGATCCTAAAGTTGGCATTTCGTCGAGCTCAAAGCCTCCATTATTAGATTCGGTTGTCAAGTACTTGATGTGGGCTAATATTGCAGCATCGAGACCCTCTTCGAGTATGATTTTGGGCATGATTCGAAATTTTGGAAACTCACCAGGGGGAGGAGCAGGAGGAGATAGAAATGCGATCGGCAGTGTCTCCCGATCTACCACGGCTGCGTCATTTGCCCAAGTTGATAGCATTTTTCAGCCAAGAAAATCGCCCCCCTCTCTTGCAACGTCTGAACCTTTGCTAGCAGGCTTGCTATTAAGAATATTCCCTCTTTTGGCACCGTCTTTTGGAAAAGAAAGCAACCGCGGTGTTGGGTCAAGCGATTCATTCCCAGACATTGTATTTAGAAATGCCTGGTTAGGCGGTGGCGGACCAGATTTATCGCTTCCTGTTTCTCCTTCCACTTTTTGGATACAGTCACAACCATGGGAATTCTGGGGAGTCCCGGAGTCATGGCTTCCAAAGCTATCACTAGTCGATGTTCTAGTGGTGCCTTCTGAGTTTTCAAAAGATACATACATCGCAAATGGGGTTGATCCATCAAAGATTGTTATCTTGCCACATGGCGTTACGTTCTCCAAAATCCAACAAATCCCCAAATTGCCCGCTGGAAAACCCGTTAATGGAGGGGGGGGAGCGCGCTCCATCATCGAAAATATAAAAAACCTTTCTGGATGCTCCAAATTCATTGCAATTTTTTCTGGAGGCCTTTTGGCAAGGAAAGGCGTAGATGTGGCTGTCAAATCTTTTCTTGCCTCTTTTAAGCGCGCCGATGAAGCTTGCCTGGTGCTTCATAGCGTTTATGGAGACGGATACTATTTTGACCAAATCAGATCACATCAAGCTGATTACGAAGCCGCAGGAAGAGACACCTCGCTGCTTCAAACGGACAGCTCTAGATATGACATACCACGACTGATTTATTTGGATAGTGCCCTAGAGTGGTCCGAGATGATTCAACTATTTAAGCTTGGGGATATCTTTCTTGCTCCTTATAGGGCAGAGGGGTTTGGACTAATTATCCTGGAGGCTATGGCCGCAGGAACAGCTGTTGCGGTGACGCAGGCAGGCCCGGCTTTGGAGTTTACCACCTCTGATAGCGTATTTTATATTTCACAAGAAGAGCGTCCGTCCGAAGACAACGAAGAGGAGCGGAAAGGGGATGATGATGATGGTGCTTGGAAAGACTACCAATATCATCTGAAAAGCAAGCCTGTGGCCATTTGCAAAATATCACCATGTGGACCGGGATATAAAGAATTCAATGGTTCAAAGACTAAAGTCGCGCCTAGGTGGGCTGCCCCCTCTGTGGAGTCCCTCAAAAAGATCCTAAAAATTGCTTATCACAATCCAGACTTGGTGAAGGAAAAGGCTATCAATGCACATCGTTTGGCTGAACATCACACTTGGACTCGACCAGGTCAAGACTTTGAGATGCTACTGAAAATTCTGGCGACCGAAACAAGAGATAATGAAGAGTTTCCTATTCCAGTTAGGATAAGAGAGGCCCTCCTGAGGCTCAAGAGCAACAAGGAAAACTTTTCTGAAACTGCTGCCAAAGAGGAAGACATTGATTTTCCTTTTAACTCTTCAGAAGTTTCGCAAGAATCTTCTTCAAATTCTTTAAGTGGCATTCCTTACTCGATCAACGAGAAATTTTCGCTTTCTAACGTTTTTATGAGTGCAATGAATCTACCATCAACCCTGGGTATTCGATTGCTGAGGTGTATTTTTTAAACTTATTAAATTGTAAATTTAAAAGTTGCCGGTTACCCAAATTTAATCGATTGCTACTTGGCAACCAATAATTCATCACTTTCTCCTCGTACATCAAGATTAAGGCCATAAGCTCGAATAATATCAACTTGCACACACATTGTTTATAGGAAGATTTTATAATAATTGCTCCAATCATTAATTAATCTACATGGATCCTTCAACATATGAATCTGCAATTGCTGCCACAGGCATGCCCCAACCATCTTCTCAATTGCATTCTAGTGGGCACTCTTCCTCTGCGCTCTCGAACCAATTGATGCTTTTGCAAAATTTTTGGCAATCTCAGCTGCAGGCAATCGAACATGGCGAGCTGGACTTTAAGAATTTCCAGCTCCCACTTGCACGCATAAAAAAAGTTATGAAGACAGACGAAGATGTCAAGGTAGGACGTGACGTCTATTACTTTTCAGATGATTAGTGCAGAGGCGCCGATTATTTTTGCCAAAGCATGCGAGATATTTATTTTAGAGCTGACGTTGCGGTCATGGCTCCATACGGAGGATTCGAAGCGACGAACGCTGCAGCGAAGCGATGTCTCTGCTGCAATCCAAAAAACAGATACATTTGATTTTCTCATTGACATCGTGCCAAGGGAAGACTCCAGATCGATGGCGAAAAAACTAGAGGTATGCGCATCATTGATGCTGATTTGCTTTTGCGTAGAACGATTACAGAGGCTCTCTGCTCGGCGATCCATCGTATTATCTTCCGTCTCAATTGACCATGCAACAACAGCTCCAAATGCAAAATACATATGCAAACAGCGGAGTCTCCATGCCCGGAGCATCGGCTCCATCTGGCGCATCTATCGATAGGATTATGTATTATCAGCAACAAGCACAAGCACAAGCACAAGCGCAGCAGCAACAACAGCTTCAACAACAGATGCAAATGATGCACCATAGGCATCAGCTTTCTCATCCTCAGGCAGGCAGCCCGTCATCCGTGCCAGAGGGGATGATTTCTACAGACTATGGCACTTCGGCCACCAGAGTATGTCGATATTTGCTAACCAATTCAGTTTCAATTGCAGCCTTCGACGCAATCATAGCCCTTACTTGAGAATAATAAACCCTTGTATTTGATTAGAATAACCCCAAATGGTGTATTAAATTAAGGCAAGTCACGGGGCTGTTACTGGCAGTGTCTTTGGGGCTTTTGCCCAACATAGCCAGGGCATTGACATGTACACTTTGCATCACGCAATCGCGATAGAGCTACCGATTTGCGTAATTTAGCAAATTTATTATTGCATCGAAAATTATTAAACAATTTCCCATGCACACACATTGTGTGTTTAATATCGGATTAGGGTTCGGCTGGGGATAAAGTAGCTTGCCGGTCAAGTGGTGCAGTATCACCCCTCGCCGGCGCAAGAAGTTTATTGGATCATGGCATCAAGACGCGTGAGGGCTGCAAAGTAAGAGGGCCCGATTTTGGTTGAAAACTTGCTTGCAAATAACATGACGGCGCGCCCCATGGTTTTGAGGTCTTGAATGGAAAATGGTACTGTTTGTAAAGTGGAAACCGCGGTGGGGCGAGTTGATTGGCTGTATAGCTCAGCCATGGCACTGAGGGTTAGCTCAAGGATGAGCCCCAAATGCCTATTCAAAGATGGGGCTCCATTTGCATCAACAACGGACTCGTGGACCGTAAACTTGTCATTTGAAGAAAAGCTTATCAGGTTGGAGCTCTTCAAGATCTAGGGGTTACTGATCAACTTGATTACCTCAAGAGCCTTATCTGAACATGAATTACGCTGCATCGAGAGAGCGTCATATAAAGACAGAAGCAAGGTCAGTACAGAGATCGACTTTTGACATGGTGGTGAATTGTATGAATTTCGATCCGGAGCGTGCTGGCGGTAAAAGTTCAGCGTACCCCTTGCCTGGCGAGCAATGGGCGACGGCGCCAAAGGAGCAACCTTGCCATCGAGAAGGGCATCCGACAGTTTTTTGGCTAAAAGCTCAAATATCCGCTCATATGATGAACAAATATGGAACAAGCCCAAGGCAGCTTCCTCCTCATCTTCGGAAACGGCTCGAGAAAGAAGTTGCGTGGCAACCCTCCAAGAAAGAACCACCAGAAGGGATGGCGAACCGCAAGTACCGGAAACATTCAATCCCTTGGCCTGATCAAATTTTTGACACTCCGTTAATTGTATCAACGGCAAATACTTGGCAATCGGACCGGGCTAACAATAAATTCGACAAAAAAGACATACCTGAACCATTCCATCGTCACTAATTGAGGCCAAGGGGGCTTTGTACGAGCTGGTGGCCAGCATCCAGTCGACCAAAAGATTGAAGCAAGTCTCTTGCTTTGAAGGCATCACCGATATGATGGATAAATATTCCAGGGAAACAAATGTGGACTCTTTGGAATAAGCAGCCGTCAATAGCGTCACATACTGGCGCAATATATGCAGAGGAATGTCGACATTTAAGCCAGGCAGCCTTTCAAAATGATACAAGAGCGCAATGGAGACATGAACGGCCTCAACAAAAATTGTTGGCTTCACTGCTGTAGCTCGAAGCATTGCAAGCAAGCCCTTATCAAACAGACCGATGTAAAATAAAAGCTTGAAATAGTTTGAAGAGCTGCTATTTGCATCCATCGAGTTGGAGTCAAAATAGGAAGCCGAGAATTTCTGCACAGTGGTTCTGAATTCTAAAAGAGAGCTCTCACGCAAAATTGACAGGTTATACCAGATCCAATCTTCAAACGTGGATATAATGGAGAGCGGTGGAGAGGATAGCGCCGATTTATCAAAATGCTGCCCACAGCTTCGTCTTGCGGAAGAAGAAAAAAGGCCATAAATTAAAAGCCGAAATGGATCAGTGGTGTCTCTTAGGGATTCCAACCTCAAATATTCATTTCTTACAAAGTCCACAAGACGATTGTTATCGAGATTATCGACTGAAGACGACTCTTCAGCAAACGCAACAAGCGCATCTTTGAAATACTTGTCTGATCGAACAAAATACGATTCGAAGGTCTCAACCCAGCCCAAAAGATGAGATTTACCAGCACCGGCTCTGATTAAAAAATAAAGAGTAGCCCAGGGATAAATCGGAATATTGTCCTGAGATCCAGGGTCGCCCCCATGGAACATTTCTACAGCGTCAAAAAAGGTGTTGTGTGATAGGGACGTCGATAGAGAAGTGCCCTTGTGGTGATTGCGCTGGGTTAACCTGAGATTCGTATACGCTCTGACTTTGTCAATGAGGTTTGGTCGGCCCCCAAGAATAGCTTCTCGTGGATTTTGGCTAATCATTCGGTCCATATGGCAGATAAATTCCTTCTCAAAGAAGTGTTTTGCTGATTGGGTGAATTCGGCGTCAGGAGAAGGATTGGGTTTCGATTTTTCTCTCAATCCTGCCTCGTCAGATACTAGCGAAATAAATTTCAGCACACTAGAGATGCCCGAATAAATCTGCAAAATTATGGAATCGCTTAAATTACCGGATCATGTGAAAAGGGAGCCAAGATGGAAAGCAGCCTATTGCATAAGGGGAAGTGAATCAAAGGAGAGATTTTTGCGTTTCCTTGCGAAATTCGAAAGGCATTTAGCTCGGAAATTGTTTCTGCAAAAGCTCGAGCCTTATGGTCGGTAATGATGGACTTGAGAGAGGGCAGTTGAATTGGTGCCTCTACACCATCCTTTTCTCCCGCAACGACGATGGGGGAAAGAGCCTGTCCTAAATTTGTGCCCATTCTGCAAGCATCCCAATGTGATGTAATCGAAGAAAAGATGTATCGCTTCATGCTTTCACATCTCTAACAAATAAGAGGCGAAAATTATACCTTCAATTTAATCGCATCTTCGATGGCCTCTTGTCTACAAAAATTTACGCTCTTTTGGTATTCAATAGGAGAACGCTGGACCTGCAACAGGAGCTTTTCTTGCTGCTTAATTTTCGGGGCTGGCAGCCCTTTTTCTTTTGAAGAAAATGCCGCAATCTTTGATATTTTTAACTCGGATTCATTGACATCAATGCCATGTTTTGATAAAAAAGAATATCCAATCGACGCGTTGGGAAAGGCTATGGCATCAATGGCAGCTGTCGGGAAAAAGTGCGACGAAAAAAGATCAAGTGTTGATTTGCAGCACTTTGACGCCAGCGTCGAGGAATCAAGCAGCAGCTTGCTGATCTTGCTAGAAGGAAATGAATACGAGTTAATTTTTTCTTGCGGCTCTGCTTGAAAGTCAACCTGCTGAGCATAGGCAGAGGTGGCAGGCTGTTGGTTACCGCCTGCTTCTGTGGACTGCGCTGTAGAGACCAAAAATGGCGAAGATTGTGCCAAATTTGAAGTCTGCGTCAAAGGTTGCGTGGTTGGCCTAAAAAAAGGATTAATGGCGGGTTGGGAGGCTGTTGATGGCAAAGTTGTACCGTTGGTATTCAGTGGAGTAAGGTTCGTAGAGCCAGATGTAAACCCCGATCCAAGAGATGGGATTGTTGATGAGTATGTTGTTGCAAATGGGTTAGCCATGTTTGCATTTGAAGGCTGGGCAGAAGGTCCCGAACCGATTGTAGAGGATCCTAAAGAAAATGCAGGCGTTGCGGCAGATGCCCCAAATAGATTTGGGGTTTGATTTGCTCCGAGCATTGAGGGCGTTGCGGCAGATGCCCCAAATAGATTTGGGGTTTGATTTGTTCCGAGCATTGAGGGCGTAGTTGCTGTTGATGTGGACCCAAAAAACGGGGTGTATTGAGGCTTATTACCCGTAGCCATATTGCTAAGAAAGCTGGAAGGTTGTGAAGGGGGGGGCCCTTGAGTTTGACCTGGTGCCGGTGCAGTCCCAAATATATTGGGCTGCTGAGAAGGTGTTGCTGCAAAATTGGTGTAAGAACCAAAGGGATTCCCCCCAAGTGGATTCGCATTGTTTGCATTGCTTGAAGCAGTGGGATTTTGCTGTGACGACCACATTGGGTGATTTTTTTGAAAGTGAAATAATTTCCAATTTCAAAGAATCTAATAAAACTTGAAGGTAAAATTTATTTTGCTATTGCATTTGGCAGATTTTAATTTAGCCCTCTTCGATATTTATGCGAATCCACCAGATCCTAACTAGCTTTTATACATGTCTTTTTTTGTTTTCATGTGTTCGATCTGCCAATGTAAGATTGCGTTAAAATAACTTGCATGTAGACCGATCTGATTTCCCTGTACAACAGCTCTATTGAGGCTATTTTACGCGATGCAAGCAATCAGGCACATTTGAAAAGGAAATCACTGTTCTCCTTTTTTTCAAAATCAGACCATATATCAATTGAAGATGCCATTTTGAATCTTGAAAAAATATCGCACCTCCCGGAGGTGCCTAATTCGATCAAGGCACATTGCGTTGAGGTTTTGGGCGACCTTGCGTTTGTATGACTTTTATTTTTGTAACAATGTTAGTTTGGCAATTTGACGAATTTTCCGGATTTTCCCAAGGCAAAGGTGTATTACTCGCACTTGATTGATTTTACCGACGATTCCCTCAAAGCCGGAAGAGCCCACTTTCACTTGGCATTAATTGAAGAGGAACGCTTGGTTGAAGACTCGGACCCGCATTTGGGTCTGCTTCATTTGATGGCAGCAAGTTCTCTGCTGTATCCACCGGCAAATATGGCTCTTGGCTATAAATACACCCATGGCATCGGGGTGCTTTTCAATAGAAATCTGGCAATCAATATGTATCTTCTGGCTTGCAATATGAGTATCATTTTGCCGTTTAAACTGTAGCTGTTTACGAAACCGAGTTTGAGATCGTCCCTTCCTTTTCTAAAGATATCCCCACACGCATCGATGCTACAAGTGGTGACAAGGGGGCCAATAGTCCAAAGCACGACATTATCCGATTTTATGAGTTGACATCAACTGGAAATGCCGAAGTGCAAGTAAGATTGACTTTCATATTTTCCCTCGTAGCTTGCCCTTGGACAGAACTACTTTCACGGGTTAGCAGGAGAGCCTGCAGACTACCATTCGGCTCGAAAATACTTTGAAATGGCGGCAGAAGAGGAGGAAAATGGCTTGGCGCTAAGTTACCTTGGGCTAATGGCTCTTCGCGGCCTAGGATATGAATTTCCAGATGCAGAGCTTGCCTATTCATATTTTGATCGGGCCATTGAGGTTGAGGATCACTCATTATCGTGGTTTGGGCTCGGAATCCTCTACTATGAAGGACTTGCAGTAGAACACGATGAAAAGGAAGCAATTTCGTGCTGGTCAAAGGCTGCAGACCGTGGATTATCCGAGGCGCAATATGCTCTTGGATCTTATCTGCTAAGAAACCGTAAGCTTTTGCTATTACATTTTGCAATTAGACCCCTCGGGCTTGAAACATTCCAAAGGCATCTCCATGCTTCAAACAGCTAGCACGGGAGGAAATCAAAAGGCGCTCTTTGAGCTGTCTGAGTATCTTGTTAACTCGCATATGAACATCCCATCTGCAGATCCGTTGCACTATTTGACCGTGTGCGCGGAGCGCTCTTTGGCACAAATTCATACCTCTGCTTACGCCTTTTACGAGTCAGGCCATACCTCGATGGCAATCGTATCATATATGCTTGCTTCGATGATGGGATATGAAGTGGGGTACATGAATGCAGCATTTCTTTTAAAGAGCTCTCCAGAAAGATCTCTGCAGTATTTTATGCGGGCTTTCGAGTACGCCAAAAGCATCGATTCCATGATCTCTTTGGGTGACCACTACTATTTTGCGGCAAAAAGAGACATCAACAACCAGTCTTCGCTTTTTGAAATTGCCGTTGATTTTTACACAAAGGGAGAAAAATCCGGAAATGCCCAGGCCGCATACAACTTGGGCTATTGTTACGAGCATGGCTTAGGCGTTCCAATGGTACTTTTTTTATTAATAAGGTAGAGTTACGAACATGCGCGTCGGTACTACAACCTCGTTCTGATATATGAAGAATCTGCCACCGTTCCTGTGTGGCTTTCTTTGGCGAAATTGCGTATTAAGGAGTTTCTTTATGTCAAAAAGCCAACTGTTTCTGACGACGCAGAAAGTAGGATCAACTTGATGTTTGAAAGACTTTCCTCGATTTCTTTTCCTTCAAAAAGAGTCTTCTATTCTCAAATTAAGAAAATCTGGTCCTACCTTCAAAAGGCCATAATTACGATCCTTTCAATACTTGCTACTTTTATTTACTTTCGAAACTACCTTCGTTTGGCAAGGGAAGAGCGCGAAAGAGAGGCCCGCAATGCGGGGCCTCCGCCTCCGCCCCAATCCCCTTTACCCAGGCAAGCACAGCCATATTCTCCGCAAAAGCTGCCTTCGAGCTCTCCCCTGCCCGTGCTTTCGCACCCTCCGCAACAGATGCCTTCAGGCTCTGCACAGCACATGTCTTCACATCCTCCGAGCTTGCCTCTTACCTCCACCATAAAGAAACTCGATCAGAAAGCATCAAGTCCAAGTCCCCAAGGCTTGGACTTTTCCCCTTCACCACAAAATATGCAACCATCAACTGTAGCCGTATCATCGACGGCCTCTGGTCGCCCTTCCTCAACGCAGCCATTTCCAGACGCCATTCTCGAACTGGCCAAAGAGTTCCAGAAAAGATCCAAATCAGCACTAGAATCTTCCGAGGATACGAAGAAGAGAAAAAACGAAAGTTCAGATTTATCCCCAAAATCCGAAGCCGACTCGGAACCTCCAAAGGAGCAGCAGTAAATGGATAATAAAAGGCACCCGCAGCGTCACAATAAACTGCTAAAATGTAAAAAGCATCTCAATTCATCCATTGTGGTGGGCAGTTTGGCCCACTTGGGGACAAATATCGATTGACGCAGCAGTAGCTGCTATCAAAGATGGGATTTTTCTCCCCTTTCGGCAAATTTCAAATACTTACCCTGTGGAGCTAGAGCGGGTCTCCGTAGCAATCTGGGCCTTCTAACTTGTCTTGCTGGTATAGGTATCAAGTTGGCAGCACAAGATTCTTGGCTTGTGAAATGATATTTTAGCCGGTTCGAGGTGTCCAGAACCAAATCCCAACATGTTAATAACTTTTAGCGCACCTTCAGTACGTTGGGTTACCATCTGAATTGAACCCCGCACTCGCAATTTAGGTCATCACCGCCCCCTTTTGCATGTGGCGTAGCCGATGATTTACGACGACCGATTGTATACAGGCTACTTTTTATTATAATGATGTGATTCCCCACTCTCTTCATCCTCGACAATAGCGGCAATCTCGAACGGAGTCGGCACCGAGTTTGCCGGAATGGAGCCAACCATCATAGACTTCGAAAGAGGGGTTGAAATGTGTCGCAAGTTGGGACGGGGATCCGTGTCAGAGGGTGTTTCCAGCGAGCTAAAATGTAAGAATAAAAGCCCACGATTTTCGCAACTCTGAAGAAAGGCCCGCAAAGGGATCATCAGACGCGAAGCTACTTGGATTATTTACACAATCCGAATATTTCTGTTGAGTACCTAAAGGTGATTTTTCGTCCGCTGAATAGGTGGGATAACTGGAGGGATCTACATAAAAATTAGGCTTCGGTTGACTCCACATCTCACCAGAGGATTGGTGCATTTGTTGAGGATAGTGAGAAGAAAATTGCAATTGTTGGGCATATTGAGTGGGATAATAATGTTGTTGAGGAGGTGGTGGAGGAGGAGCAGCCATTCCCACGCTTAATGTAGAAAGCTCTCGGTGGATTTCAGAAGCAGTTGGCGGGCCCTGAAAAAGGTCAATTAAATCGTCGTTCGACTTTTTGGACGAGGAAGACGATGTTTCGGCCGCAGAAATTCTTAGCGCTGCTTTTAACTCCACATCATCCTCCTCGTTGTTTCTAAGCGAGGCTCGCCTTTGAGCATCAATAAGCGCTTGTTGACGAGAAGCATCAAGTGCCATCTGTAATTGCCTTTCCTCTTCTCGCGAGCTTGAATAGGAATTGTGGTTTAAAACAGAGGGCGATGATGTGCGAGAGGAGCTTGCCCTGCTCCAACCATTTCTGGGCGAGGAATTACCACCGGCTCCGCCAAGATTTTGCCCATATTTCTCGTCATTAAACGCTAAAAAAGAATGCGGATCTTTCATGTGGGGGTTGTTTCGCCGATCTGCAATCATATCTGGATCCTCTATTAGCGCAAGCAGATCTTTGGTCTTTTGGCGGACGCAAGATCCATGGTCCCTTCCCAAGTCATCGACATATTGAAAGTGGAGCAGCGTTTTTATGATATAAATCTGCTCCTTCAAATGAAGCAGAACTTGATCCGAACCGGCCAGAAGCAGGTAATCCAAAACGATTAGCGACTAAAATGAGAAAATCAAGCGCAGGGCAACAACCTTGTACACATGTCGCCAGTTGCGGCCCTTGTCATTCAGGCGGCGGTCAAGAATAGACATCAGCTCGGTAAATAAATAACTACAATAAGACAATGCCCGGTGTACTGGTGGTTGCTAGCTGCAGCTAGCTGCTCCAAAAGGGTTGTCGAGGGCCCATTTGGATCGTTTGAGGTAGCCTCGCGCACCTTAATCTCGATGTCAGAGTATCCTTTGGTAAAATTTTTACTGCAAAGTAAAGATATGCAATGTGATTACGCTTGCCGGAGGTAGCTTTTGGCCTTATATTTTGGATTTGACATTTTCCAAAACCAGCTACAAATTGAAAATAAAATTTGCCAAACATTTTCATGCTAATTGTTCAAAATGCCAATGCATCATCATTTTCCACGCTTTTAGAAACCAGCGTTGAGGCGGAATCGGCGCTTCCGGCGCCGCTCCCACATTATTGGATATGCACCCCCTTATTTAACAATAACCCCGCCCACGACCATACCGTCATTTTAACTTCTTCCTCGTTCGAAACGGCCTTCTATCAGCCAGTTCCCAACGTTACGCCAATCTTGATCGAGAGCTACAGCGTGCACAGCTTAAAGCAGCTGATTTTGAGCAACGCAAACAACAGGATTGTCGTTTCAGATATCAGCTTATTTTTCAGACACAATACGTTGCATGATTTTATTTTCCTGCTAGAAGAAATGGAGTCCCAAAAAGGCCGCCTTAAGCCGATTTCGTTTATCATCAGAAGCGATCTCATTTCCGATCCTTTTCTTCTTGCAGGCATTCGGAGGCTATTTCTGACGCATTTGATCTTTTCAAAGATCGATGCAAACAACGTTTTATTGTCATTTCAATATATTCACAAGGGAAGCCTTAAGAGTGAAAAGTCTGTTTTAAATACCAAAGAGACATCGATATCTGCATACAAAGGCATCCAGTTGTTTAAAGAAAAAGAGCCGAACGAAGGAGCACTCCCGGAAAGTACGTTTTCTCTCGATACCACCGATGAGCAAAAGGAAAGAAAAACACACGTTCAGCTGCCATTTATGAAGGCCCAACTTGATTCGCTGCTTCAATATGTCCCCGACGAGGCCGATGATATCGACGAAGAGGACCCCGATGCCGATTTGGAGTTTTAGGCCAGCCAGCGGCAGGCCGCCTTTGGCTCCCATTTAAATGTGGCAATAAATTTTAATTTTTGTAATGTCTGGTGAGCCCAAAGTTCCCTATTCATGGAAGCAAACGCTTTCTGATGTGACGATTTTGCTCGATCTACCTGCCGAGATTACGAAGGCCTCGCAATTGAATGTGTCCATACAGCCAAAGCATTTGTCTGTAGCATTCAAATCGACATGCACCCCTCTTATTAGCGGCGATCTGCATAAGGCATGTAAAGTCGATGATTCCACCTGGACAATAGGTGACCAATCGTTGGTATCTCATTAGGTAGAGGATAAAAAAACCCTCTTGATACACCTTGAAAAGGAAAATAAGCAAGAGTGGTGGTCATGCATCATCCAGGGTCATCCAGAGATCGATACCAAGGCTATTGTCCCGGAAAATAGCAAGCTTTCCGACCTGGACCTTGAAACGCGGTCTCTTGTTGAAAAGATGATGTTTGATCAGCGCCAAAAGGCAGCAGGTCTTCCGACGTCCGATCAACTCAAGCAACAGGAAACGCTTCGCCGCTTCCAAGAACAGCACCCTGAAATGGATGTAAGTGTTGCGCACTTGATTTTTAGTTTTCTAATGCCAAGTTTTCACAATAAAACCGCCCCAGTGTGGGGTAGGCCCTTGGATTGATTAAATAAATAAATTTATTTTGAACAAATATTCGAGCCAGCCTTCCCATTATGGTAGTTTGTCCAGGGACCCAAACCATTTTTTGAGTAGTAGTCCATGGGATATTGAGACTGCCAGGGAATGGAGCCAAAGAGCACAGAGGCCTCGTATGGTGTAAGAAGGGGCTTTTCAAAGGCTTCACCCCAATCGATACTAAGCCGTGGGCATGCAACTTGAATCCAGCTACGGGTTATGTGAAGGGATAAAACATACGCATCGACATCTTTAAATAGGGATAGCTTTGAAGGAGATATTTCGGAAATTAAAATGGGGATGATTTCTATGTTCAGGCTTTCAGCACGCTCCTTCAAATGCTATATGGAGATAAACGCTTAGGTAATACCCTTAGGATATTTGGAGATCCTTGCCTACCAAGAGTGCTCAAGGCCATTCCAATTCGCCGACAGCCTTTAGCTTTAGCAATGGCACCCAGACGCACAGAATGCAATTTGTTGTGGTCGTAATATTCGCGAGATAGGATATTGGAATATGGATCATATCTAACGATAAGAATTTGGGTGTTGTTTTTACCTATATGCTTCGGCGGAGGGATTGGCAATCATCATTGCTTCAAGATGAAACCTACCGTCACCCACATACCTAAAGGGATATATTTTTGCAATGCGTTACAAGATAGAATCAATTGAAGACGATCCAAGCGATGGCGCAGTGCAACCAAGTACCTCGCCACCCGATAATGGGCGCTCTTGTGGAACGGAAATCGAAGAATAGCCGTGCTTCGATAGGGTGGAATATAGTTTCTACAATTAAAATACCCCCTTGCTTACGTGAACAGCACTAAGGAATTGTACGGTAGAAATGATTGCAAGCTTTTTGGTGATGGCGAAATTTTCCACCATTAGCGCTTCTAGCAGGGAAATATCAAATTGGATTTCAACAAAGACATATAGCACTCTTATTCCCTCGGTGACGTTGATCGGCACTACGAAAAGAACTGTAAATCTATACCTAGGCAAGAATGCCCAAAATGAACTAGAGAATCACACCCCAGTGCTTTGGCAGTAAAGTCATCCACACAACAAGCCCCATAAGTGACATCGCCCATAATGACGCAATCCACGTCAGCAAAGCTATACAGTGAGCATTGTTTTAGTACTCTTCAAAAATATCGGATAATAGACATGCATAAAGCAGCAGTCCCTCGGGAAACTGAAGGGCAACTATCACAGTTAGGGGGTCGAAATAACCTCTTCGAGACTGATTTCTTTTGAGAAACCAAACGATCTTGTAAATTTCAAAATTATAGTTTTTCGGTAGCTACACAATCAACATAAGGCATCAAAAAACCTTAGAAATGGCCAGCGCTAGCCGATTGTCCTCCAACAATGAAGAGGGAATGGCATTAGAAAATTTTGATTTCAGCATAAATTTTTTTAAAATAAAAATTCATGTCCCTTTCAGTGAATGAATTTGATGCTGAGCTATTATCATGTGGGCTAGCCAATCTTTCTATATCAACCTCCTTGATCAAGCAACTGCATCAAAGGTATGTCTGTTTGGGGTTAAACTTACCATCTAGATGCGGGACCGTTTCAGACAAGTCTGACAGAGCTACTGTGGAGCTTGTGCTTGATCCCAAAACCAGAATGCTTGTTTTCAAAATCATAAATAAAGGCCTTTTCGACGAGCTACAGGGCTGTATCTCTGCAGGAAAAGAGGCAAATGTTTATTGTGCGCACCGCCGGTCGGATGATGTCTTTTTTGCCGTCAAGATCTACAAAACCTCTATCCTTATATTTAAGGACCGCGAAAAATACGTTGTCGGGGAATTTCGGTTTCGCCACGGTTATAACAAGTCAAATCCTCGCAAAATGGTTCAGCTCTGGGCCGAAAAGGAGCTTCGGAATTTGAAAAGGTATTTTGGCATGCTTTCCCGTTAGGATCCGTCTCTCTGGTATCAACTGCCCGGAGCCTATACTGCTCAAGTCCCATGTGCTTTTAATGCAATTTTTGGGAGATTCAAATGGACTGTATGTGTGCATCGCTTGGCTAACTTTTAGTCCCTCTCCGACGTTAAAAAACGCGGTTATCGAATCCGCAGGAATAGCCTTCAAACTCTATGTCGACTTGATCGTCATTGTTAGGACGTTATTTCAGACATGTAAGCTGGTGCATGCTGATCTGTCCGAATATAATATTCTGTACCACCAAAAGGCCCTTTGGGTTATAGATGTTGGCCAGGCCGTTGAACATGATCATCCTTATGCGTTAGAGTTTCTAAGGAAGGATTGTCTGAACATAAATACCTACTTTAAGAAATATGTTTCCAAGATACTTCCGCTTAGATCAATATTTGATTTTGTTGTGCAGCCATTGCCAGTTGCTACTGAAAAGGACCCACAAGCCATAAGAAAGATCCTAACCAACCAGATGTCTACCATGTCGCAATTATCGCTTTCTTATCAGGAAGAAATGGACGAAAGAGTATTCCTGGAAGCGTACATTCCGAGGACTTTGAACGAAATTGTAGACATTGAAAGAGATATCGACAAACTGAATTCCGGAAATACAGAAGATCTTTTATATTGCAACATGACGTCAATTAATCACATGCCGGAGGGTCAAGGCGCTTCAACGGCCTCAGAGACCATTGAGCACGTTTGCGACGAAGCATTTGCATCTGCAGCCGACCCGGTAACCGAGTCAGAGCCTCACACAAAAAGGGTCGCGCAAAATTTGAAAAAATCAAAAGAAGAGAAACAACAGCACAAGAAATTGGTCAAAGCAGAGAATCGGTTGCGCCGTCAAAGCAAAATGAAAAAATCGGAAAAAAAACGCCTATGCAAATCTAAAAGCTGCTAAGTACGCAGTTAATAACTCAATAAATTTATTTCCCCTTCCGAGTGATCTGTAACCTCCTTCTAGTTGACGCGCTAAGCTTGAAATCGCTGGAGGCCGAAATTTCTGCCAAAAATTCATCCACAGCGAGGCTTGAATATTTCGAGGTTGCTTGGCTAGATAGTAGAATGTTAATGGAAATCGGGTTGTCGTCCGAATAAACAAACTCCTTGATTGTGACTGTCTTTGCGCTCTGGCTTTCTGCTCCAGGGTTATCACTTGAAGAGGGGCTGTTTTCTTTTCTGGGTTTAAGCGCAGATCTTTGAGTCGCTAGCCTTGACGCCGGTTCAAAGGAGACAAGATTTTTATGCCATTTAATTAGGCTCGGGTTTCTTTCCGCTTTCTCCTCAATACAATTTGTAGGCGATGCTGCAGATTTGTCTGGCATCATTTGGGCTACAAACGAACAAGGTCCGATGATTGGGCTTGGAGGCCGAGGCTGATTTAGAAAAACCGGCTTTAGGACCAGTTGAATGTCAGAATAGTATTCGGAGTTCATTTCGGTATTGTTTTTCGTTCTTGATTCAAGCTCGGATTTGGATATGGAAAGCAGTGATTTTTTCTCTACATTGTCGGCAGAAGTATCCGCATCTATACATATATTTTCAATCATTTTCGATGCTTTTCGTACATTTGGACCTACAAATTCTTCTCCAGATGCATATGATGGAGCCCCAGACAAAATTGATTCTTCTTCCGAAAGGGTTGGAGCAGAAACCTCAACAGAAGGCACTTTTACTTGTTTTTCAGACGAACAAATGGATAGTTCTTTGATGAAGGTTGAGAGCTTCCGTTTTTTCTTGTTTTTCTTCAATCTCTTACATTTGCTCTGTTCACGGTTAGCTGCGTAACTTTTATTTGTGACCATTAAAAGAAATGGGGCATAAATTAAAAACAAATTTAATAAAATTTACAGCAAATTAAAAATTAATAAAATAAAAAGGGTGCAAAATCCGTCTGTGGCGGCGTTAGAATGCCATCTTCAGAATGGTATCCAAAGACCTGGAGATTTTTGCTCTTTACAGGGACCAGAATATCTGCCATAATTGACTCTATTTGTGTTGATAATGGTTGCGTAAAAACAAAGATTTGATTTTGAAAGGAATCGGATTCAGAATGCTCGGGAAAACTATAGCTGGAAATGGGGCTGCTAAAGTGTTGGGTTTGTGAGCGTGCCGTATAAAGCTCAAACATCCCCGAAAAATCGGTGCTAAGAAAAACTTCTGAAATGATAAAGAATCTGAAAAGACTGTCGTAGGCAATGGCTACCGGCTCGACGGAGCCTGCGCAGAAATTTGCCAAACATATCAATCCTTGATTATCAAGGAGATAGTTCAAGACGCCAGAAAGCAAGTGGTGGGGGCTAGTTCGAACAATTTGTAACGCAAAGTTGTTGTCTGGCTGGTCGTTAACATGCCAGGTCTCAATAAAGTCATTTTCAGAAAGGATTTTGAAGAACCTTGGCAAAAGAGGGTATTGAATTTCTACGGTCAACAATTTAAGCGCATACGGATATTAGAAAATGGGCCTTGTAACTTGAGATCGACGAAAAACACCGCGTCAATGGAGAAGATTTGCGAAACGAGATGCTGCCAAAAGCCTATGTCTTGGTTCTAGCATTTATGGAATGCCCGAAATATCTTCAAACTAAGGGCATTAAAAATCTGCCATGCAAAATTGCGGTTTTCCTTGAAACAGAAGTGGCTAGCATACTCTGATCCCGATGCTTGCACACCAAATCCCATCATATTTCGCTTGGCCATTTTGCGTGTGTCAAAATTAAATTTTATTGTTCCTTTTTTTTTTGGTTTTTATAGGTAGCCTGGAGATGACACCTAGTTCTTTCCGAGTGTGTTCTAAAAAGGCATAGTCCTCATTAAAGGTTGTCACCGAATACTGTTGAGGACCAATAAATTTAGCAGTATCCCTCTTTCCGCTGCAGTTGTGCTCGCTCTTGTGAGTGGTCGTACATGCAAGCGAGCATGTTTTAAAGAGACACGCAGGGCACTTGTATTTATAGGGTTCTGAATTACAGACCTCACACTGAGGCTCCTTTTTAATCTGGCAAGGGGACTCCACTTTTTATTGGCCGATGACAAAAAACTATTTATTTTAAATTAAAATTAGCGGGAAGACTTGTTCTTTTTAGAGATCCAGCTTGGTTTTTTAGTTTCCTCTTTGGACATTTTTTTGTTTTGCTTTTCTTGCAATAATTTACGTTTTTTCTGCTCCTCTAATTTTCTTTTCTCGTCCCTTGCATGTTTAAGCGTCCCGAGTTCCTGGATGAGAGATGCAACTTTCTTCTCTTTTTCGTCACGAATCACAGCCAGGGCTTGGTTAATGGGCTGTTTCTTATTCGTTTTTGCCGAGGCCGTCTGCATTTTGGGCTTGGAGGCAAATGGAAGAGATTCCTCGAGCTTCTTAGGAATATGAAGCGGATTGAATCGTCGATGCTGAGTCCTGTCCTCCTCTGTAGATCTGGTGTCATAGACTGAAGATGGCTTTTGGGATGCCGGCTTTGGTGCATCGAGCGCGCGTCTAATTTCCCAATTCAAGCGCATTCCGACCCAATCCGATTTGTTTCTTAATAGTAGGGATGTGATTGGATTGTAGTAAGATCGAGGCGATATTTGCGTCCATGCCCGCAAAAAGACAATGTCAGACATCAGGAGCTTATCTTCAAAAGTAGCGCGAAAGGTGCCAGCAGGGCCCTCATGAACGGCCTTTTTAATGGAGCCTCTGATTCCAGACACCGTTCGCAATGCAGCACCTTCAAACTTGGCGACCTCGAGAGCGGAGTTGAACATGTCTTTGATCAAAGCAGTATGCTTAGCAATCTTCAAGGGGGTCCCGGTAAGTTTGAGTTTTTTGACCAGACCCGACTTTTGCTGGTCATCTCCATCTGCGCTGGAGGAAGATTCAAGAGAAATGCCGGTAAGCGCCAATCTCCAGCCAGAACATGTAGACTTGACAGAACGACATGCCACAATGCCAGTGTTATTTGGAAGTAAAGGTCCATAGAAAGCAGCCATGCAATGCGAATGACGAGGGGTGTACTTGATCATGCGTCTTCTGGAAGCTCCAGAATCCACGCGAGCACCTCGGTCGTGCGTATAAAATAAAGGGATCGATTGAAATCTGCGCCATCCAGCGCTCCATATAAGTGGCTCGTCGCTCTTCAGGATCGTCTCATGCCAGCGATGCTTTTTAACTCTGGCGTGAATTGTTCCAAATTTGGCATTTTCAGACCCAAACGGAACCACTCCCACTATGATGGGAAAGGAAGGGTCGAAATATTCGATCAATTCAGCTGGGGCCTTTTCAAGGATTATCCTGACATATGTTCCGGGAAGAAATCCTCGAATTTGATCGGACACGTCAACCGATTCGTCCTCAAACGCAGCCCGATTTAGGGCTTCTTGCGCCGCCATTGATCTTTTTGCAGCAGCAAACATGTCGTCATCTTCTGCAATCTTCATTTCTTTGGACGTCAGGGTTCTTTTTCCTGTATCATACTCGATGTCAAATCGCTTTTTGATGTCAGTTTTCTTTTTAGATAGTTCGTCTTTGGCATCTTCATCATCGCCGTCAGAAAGGCCGCCCGCCAAACCCTTTTCAAGGTCCTCGAAATCCTCGCTCTCCGAGAAACCTTGCGAGCCGTTCATCGCGCCGGAAACGAATCTAGTTCGTTTAAGAACATCCAATGCTTGTAAATCAGATGCATCCGTGATGTCATTGGGGTTAATTTCCTGGTCATTGGAGGGAGAATTGGCAGATTTGTTTAGCGTGAAAAATCCGTCGTTCGCCTCGCTTTCGACATCAGTAGCAACGTTTTCAAGGTCAGATTCTTCGGAATCAGAAAAAAGGCGTTTAGAGCCGCTTTTGATAGCTCTATTTGCACGAGCAGAATTAAATTCACTTTTTGAGGAGATATAGTCGCCATAAACCTGTGCTTGTATGGAAGATCTCGCTGGGGGCATTGCTTTTCTTCTGGAGGCGAGTGCTTCTTTCCATTTTGAATCGAGGAAAGCAGGGTTGTCCTCATCTTTCAGGCACAAATGATCATCTTGAGCTTCGAATTTGGTGAACAGGTCGATTGGATCGCCGCTCTCGTCATTGTTGTAGAACTGCTCGATATCTGAATCTTCTTCGGAGCAAGATGCGTCAAGCATGTCATTGGCTTCATCAGCACTGCCATATTCATCGACTGCATTAATATCGGTGCTGTAAGCATCATCCGATTCATTTAGAATATCCTCTTCTCCACCATATGTATCATAGTCTGATTCCTCATTCTCCACCATAAACGTAGGTGACTTTTTGCTAAACATTTGGACATCAGATTTTCTTAAACGATCATCAAGAGACTGAAACGATGTTCCCTTTAATTCGTCCAAAATCGTCAATTCTCCATCTTCGTTTATATTGGCTCTGGAGTCTGGAATATCCAAGTATACTGCATCTTTATCATAGAGAATTCCAGCCACGTCCGCCATGGGAGCATAAAGTCTTCGCTCCAGGTCTTTGAGAGTAGCCCTTGGTCTTTTCGACTGTTTCTGGTCTGCTTCCACGGGGGCCTTCAAGCTGGCTTTCAAACGCTCAGGAGTCGGACATGGATCTTCCAATCTCGTGATAGAATTCAACGATAAATCACCAATACCTGGAACATGGGCAGAGATAGGGGTTGAAATATTCAATGGAGGTCGAAGAGTACAGCCTCTTGTCCATCCATAAAGCGCAACTTTTCTGTCAGAGTGCGGAGCTTCCCGTAGAATATCGGGTGGTGTGAGATCCTCAATCCGGTCAATCAGCAAATATGAATTTGTATTTTTCCAAATTATAGGACGAGGCTTTGCTACAGCCAGAAGGCGAGACAGATTTAATACATCCCTTGGATAATACAAAGGGGTTCTGGAGTCACCCGGTGTTTGGGAGTTTCCACCGACAACACCGGAGAGTGAGAACAATTTGACCCCAGAGTGGGTCTCTGACCACCATCTGTGCTTAAGTGCATGTTTTGACTTTTTCAACGCTTCAGGAGATGTGAAAGTGTCCAAATGGGTCATGGCACCAATGACTTTGGGCATTCCATGCGAAGAGGCAATAGCAAGAAATTCAAAGGTTTCCATTTCAAATCCATAAGAGGCATCAATCAAAAGAACAACAAGATCCGCTATCTTTGCAACATCTATCATTGCGCCGAGGTCGTTTGGGCACTCCAGAAGCGTAATTCGCCGTGACTTTCCGCTCACTACAGTTATGGGTCCTGATACTTTTGATAGGTTTTGGCGAGAAAATCTTTTGACCAACGATCGGATAAGTGTTGATTTTCCAACATTAGGAGGACCAACAATTGCAACAACCAGTGGGGGAGGATCTAAATCTGGAGTTCTATTTACGAGCGGGACATGAAATTTTGCCTCTTTCTTGTCGGCAGTCCTTTGTCCAGATTTTGCTGCTTTTGATCCCCTATATACGGCGAATGCTTTGGGGTTTTGTCGTACCGCAGCCTTTCCAGGACCGGCCTTTTTGTCCTTTTTCCGTCCCGCTTGGGACGGACGATGTTGTTTGTGGAATTCGGCAGTCATAAATTTTCTTTTTTTTAAAGTTTATTTTAAAAATCAAAATTGGCACTATGGTGGCGGCATCGCCTCGGCCGCAACTTTTGCTTGAAGACTACCAACTTGCTATTTTGAAGTCTGTTCTTTGGCATCAATTCAGCGACTTTGAAATCGCCTCAGAACGATCCATTAAGTTTACATGATTCCTAATTTCTTAGTCAATTTAATTATCTTGTATCCGAGTGCATAGATAATGGAGCAAGCCAAACGTTGCTTTTGATTAACCCGGGCCCATTTCCAAATGGATATGTCTATAAAGTATATTTTATAAATTATTCTATAGACTACCCAAAAAGCATTAGCTCGCCTTGGGCAAACAGAAGAAAGAAGACACATCATTCTTCGTCTATCTGGCCTGATCGACGGTGACGATAGAATAGCTCTAGCCGACATGGTCCAGCAATTGGCCTTACTTGATCCAATATTTAAGAATTTATTAGGCAATGATTCTAACCCAAAGACATTTTCAGAATGTTTTTCACTTCTTGTCGAAGCAATTGAAACAAAATTATCTTTTACTGCAATTGTATTTATAGTCGAGGACATTGACTTGTTTGCTAAACAGCCAAAACAATCCGTTCTGTATAGTCTTTTTGACCTGGTCCACGTGTCAAGAAACCGACCAATTATAGTTATTGGGTGCACTAGTCGCTCTGTACGTTTTCTCATCTCTAAATTGGTAGAATTTTTCAGAGCTACTGGAAAAAAGAGTTCGGTCGAGATTCAATCCTCGATCGATTTTCCTTCGTGAGGGAAATTCTTCATCCCTTGGATCGTTTTCTTTGTTGTGTTCGAAGGCGTTTAACATACCGCAATCGATCGATTCCCTTCCGTCTTCTTTTATTGACGAATTTAATGAACGAATTGAAAATTTATTTTCAGATTCCTCTGAACTTGTAGATGCTTTAAAGGCATATTATTTGGCTTTTGATGTTCCTTATCAGATGCTCCAGAAACTAATCCCCGTAATATATTCCCTTTCTGTCACAGATCCTTTTATCACGGCCACCTTACTGAAAGATGTGATTGAATCGCAAACTGCGGATCAACATTATCAAGTAATTCAAGGTTCCTTTTTTCATTTATCGTTTAGGACTCGCTATTTCTGAAATTTCGCTACTTGTAATCTTGTTTAGGGTTAGGGGGGTTCTGCCACCCATTACATTTGGTGGACTATATGAAGAATATCGCCTCTTTTCTTCTCAATCGTTTTCAGATCTGGCCGAACTATGCACAAGGAGCATGGCTTTGCATGTATTCGCGTATCATACTAACATCGACATAGGCCGTAAAACGTTTGATTTCTCAAGGTCTTATAGTGATTGATGGAAAATCTCCAATCGAATTTGAAGGTTTAACACTCGCAGTAAATCCCAGAACCCTTGTTAGGGCTATGGAGGGCCTGGAAAGATGCCCCACTATAATTAGATCTTGGCTCAGAGAAGATGGGGTTAACCCCTCATGACTCCCCATAAAATTACTTGTTAAGATAATAAATTGTGCTTTTGAGTTTATTCTCTATACTTTCAATGGCGGTGGCCAATACCAGCTGCCGATTGATCTCTATTTTGAGTTGGGGCAAGTTGCTTTTCAAGCTCTTTCTCTACCAAATGAGTTAAAAAAAGTACGTTTCATATGAGTATTGTGAATTTTGAAAATAATCCCAAAGTAAACTAGTGCCCCAATCAGAAAAGGAACTTCGGCTCTAAAGCTAACAGGAGGGTACTTGGGGTATCGTGAAGTAAAGGGTAACCAAACCATTCTTGTCTAAAATTTAAAATTTACTGAAATTGCATATGTTCAACTTTAAAATTCAAATTTTATCGATTCCGTATTTTCGTCGTCATTTTCAAATCCATACGTAGCTGCAATTGCTACAACGCTAAAATTCGGTATCTCGCTCAATCATAATCATAAACTTTACAGAAAATGTATTATTAGTTAACAAGGATTTCATTATATGTTTTAAAAACCTATTGAATCCAGTATGCATAATAACTGCTTTGGAAAGACGGGTTGAGTTTCGTACAGTGATCACTTGGCTAAAAACCAATGTAGATCTGCTTGGATCTCTTCGCAAATATTTCCTACTTTAAAAAAGTTAAAATTTAATCTCAAATGCAAAGTTTAGCATCTGCTTTGGTCAGGTAATCAACTTCAGCCCACTAGACCTCCCCCCCCTTCCCTAGCCTATTTCTAAAGCGGACTCGAGATGTATAGCGAAAATGGCGGGCATCAAACGGGGATTGAAACCCCTATTTGTAAATTGATAAACTTTACAGCACTTTTAAGCGCTAATTAAGTAACCTCAGCAATTCGTAAATCCGTGTAATCTAATTACACGGTGTCTTGAATTTGGAATTTTAAAACCAAACCCTAAAATGTAGGTCTGTTTAAATCTTATAATGCCGTCATCTTGAGTAATATTTTTGCGAATGGAACCGATAAAGAGACAAAGCATCAAACTTTGTGTCTCAATTTCTTTACTTCTCGCTTTTCTTTCAGTTTTGACGTATTATTTTTATCAAGTTTACACGGGAAAAAAGCTAAATGCCAGCATCTCCATCCCCTCTGATGTGCTCTTAAAAGAGTATAGTCGAACAATTATTCAAGACATAGGGGGTATTTTGGATCTAAATGTCCCGTATTCTCTGATACACGAGCTTGCTCTTCCTCGACCAGTTGGGTCGAAGCAACATCGGAGAGTTATTGAGATTATTTCAAAGAAATTGAAGCAGTTCCATATGAGCGTGTTTCATGATAAGTTTCAATCAGACACTGTACTTGGTGTCAAAAGTTTTACAAACATCATCGCCATTGACAATTTAAAAGCGACCTCATTTATAATCCTAGCTGCACATTTTGATTCTAAACGAACTTCAAAAAATGTTGATCGAGAAAAGTTCTCTGGAGCTTCAGATGCTGCAGCATCCTGTAGCATTTTACTCGCCTTGGCTCAATTGTTATCAAGCTACAGGATTACCACGACGCAATTGGGGGTTATGTTTATTTTTTTCGACGGCGAAGAGGCATTTAAGAGCTGGACCGACAAAGATTCATTATATGGCTCAAAACATCTTGCGAAGGTATTTTCTAAAAGGAAAGATGAGGTGAAGCTATCCGATCTGCACCTGATCGAATACGAATCTAGTGATAGTGATCAGAAGACCAAAGCTTTTAATGTCGATTCAATTTCACTATTCATCCTTCTAGACTTGCTAGGAGCCAGGGATGATGTGCAAGTTGCATCTTTCTTTAAAAATACACACAAGGAGTTTCTTGAACTCTTTAAAATTGCAAAGCAAGTCGAGGCATACCTGCCCCCTCTGGAGCAACAATATTCTCAACAGCAAAAAAGAAAACCCCAGCTAATGTCCCAAAGGCTTGTAGACACCCTAGTCGTAGAAGATGATCATCTGCCTTTTAAAAAGCTGGGAATCCCAATTCTGCTTCTCGTTCCTGCTCCCTTCCCAAAGCACTGGCATACTTTGGAAGACTCTATAGACAATTTAGATGGCCGCGCATTGTATCATTGGACAATCTCGCTTTTTTTGTATTTCGCAGCAAAAAATCAAGTATCGGATTTTTAGTGGCCATTGATTGGCTCCTTTGGTCGAGCATAATTTAATCGTCAGAAATAAAATTTAAAGTAATCAACTTCATAATTTACGGGGCTCCTAAACTCATGATTATGAGTCATAGTTTGGTCATTTCAATTAAACACAACAATTAGTATTTATGATTGGTCCAAATACTCAGAATGAATATTGACGACGTATCGATTGAATCATTATGTCTATAAAAGACGGATGCTTGTTTTGATTTTTTATGAATTTGATTTTGATCGAAGAGTCGCTATTGCAGCAGAAGCTGGCTTTTTTGGCTATGGTTGTTGCAGACATGATGCAATCTGGTTTAGCCACCTTCTACATCGTTACTCTTATCCAAAACATAGTTGGTAAAGACTTCCTTATGTTGTCGATCTTGCCAACTCATGTTGCTATATCTGTATCCGTAAATGATTTAAATCAAAAAGATATATCAAGCTCTAGGGCTTTTAAATCAGGATACAATATGAAAAAAATGGAGAGGCTTACTCGTCTCCTTAAAGGGCCTTTGGATGACCCAAAAGCTAGTGAAATTTCTTCGAGCCGATTTTCAGCAAAAGAACTTAGTGGTGGGTATGATGAAAAACAAACGACCAAACCTTTTGCACATTCTGGGCATATTCAGTGTTCTGACGATGCTGATGATTCTGAACACGTTGAGGCCAATCATAATGTTGAGACGACAGGAGCTTTTGGACCTCCTGAGGGTTCTGAGGTAGCCGGTGTTTCGCTAGCTCCTCAGGTTGATAAAACTATGGCAACTTCCAGTACACAAGCTAACAATGGAAATTCTCCTGATGTCTTTATAACTATCGAAGACTCTCGTTTTAAAGTTGATGCTAATTTGGAGAAATCAGAAGATAAAGATAAGAATTTTAACTCCGATAAGGACATTGATAAAATTAAGGTTGATTCACGTATCATTTCAAGGCTTGATAACTTGAAAAAAGAATATGAAAAAATGAAACATGAACCGGATTCTTCTATTTTAAAAGGAATTCCTTTCTGTTCGGCCACGAAAAATAATATACTTGGGATTCACTTTATAGCTGCTGTATTTGCTGCTGTTTCTGGACCTATGTGTTTTTCTGGTTCTCTGAAAGACCAGTGTTACGGCTCTATAGTTGGAATCATTGCTGCTATACTACTTTATTTTACCGAGATCTCAATACTTTTTAACCGCACTCAAGTTTTTATAAGTTCTATTATATGTGGGTTTTTGACCTTCCTTTTCTGCTATTATGATAGTGAAATCTCATTTTGGCCAATCGTTTTGGGAGCTACCCTTTGGAACCTTCCTGGTTTCTCGATAACGATGGGGGTAGTAGAAACATTTTATTTCAAGTCCAGCGGGGGGATTATCGGAGTTTCGATGCTCATCAAAGGAATGTCAGAGGGTATTCTCATGGCGCTTGGATTCGGTGTCTCAATATATATTGGTCGATTAATCTTTAACGGGCATTATGTGCACCTCTCTATTCGTGCTAATAGTACCGAGCAATTTTCCCCTACTACGATTGCACTATTTTCTTCTTCCTTTTTGACAGTTGGGGCGACCCTTCTAATGGAAGGATCACGTATGCAAATTCTCCTTTCTTTTATTCCTATGGTAGTTTGCAACTTTGTCTTATTTGGTTGCATCGAGTTGGGAATGCCAAGCATGCTTTGCGATTTCCTTGCCTCTTTCTCAGTTTGCATCTTGTCTATGATAATTAGCGAATATACAAAGAGCTCTTATCTTGTTTACGTTTATAATGGAATCCTTCCTCTCGTCCCTGGGGGCAATTTTGTCAAGGAAACGTTTGGAATTATTGAAGACATGGTTGTTGGCGATTACGAGCACCCTGAAAAAAAAGATTTCGCCAAGACAAAGTATCCTCCGTTTATGTCGTCAATCGTATCTGCATTTAGTATTGGGCTTGGAATAATCGTTAGCGACTCTATTTATAATCTATTGAAAAAATCACTCTTAAAACTGAAAAAAGTTGTCACATTTTACCAGATTCTTCTTAAGTAAATCGTGGTATCCAATGGATGAGAGCAAATAAACTTTTTTAAAAGAGGTATTAATTGTGGCCATGTAAAAGTTGGCAAGCAGCTTCCATGTAAGTATGGATGGGTAATAACTTTTGAACCAACCACGGTCTCCATAAATCAGAGCCTGCTTTGGGATCATGAATGCATATAATGCTTTGACGCTACGAACAAATATAGGGTTGCAAATTGTATTTTAGATATTTTGGCGATGATTTTTGTTTGGGGGTGCATTCACAGCAGAAGCATTCGAAGAATACTTTGGCATGATGCAATTACGACCAGGACTAACTGTGGGGCTGAAGTATTGATCTTTAGCTATAACTTTGATTTTGAAAGAAAGTTGGAAACATTTCTAGGAAGCTCTTCCGATTGAAGAGCAGACGAATTGACCAGTGCAATTTTCTGCAAGCCCTGTTTGATTGAGGGATGCTCATACGAGTCAAGAATGGACCTTTTTGTATTTTCAACTGCAGTTTGGCTTTTGGATGCCAAAATACCGGCCAAATTTTCCCCGGCCTCTAAGACACTTAATGCCGATGATATGGAACCTTTTAATTGCGCGTAGCTATCAAATAGATCCCCCTGAATGAATCCAAAAGCTTTGGCCTCACTTGCACCCCATGTCCTTCCGGTAAGACACAATTCCAGAGCAATTCCGGAGCTTGATACACATTTTGGAAGTCTCTGTAAAGTGCCAAGGTCTGCCGCGAGGCCAAGATCTACTTCCTAAAAATGCATTTTCGATGATTACCTTGACCGAGAATTTGGCACCTTTAGTGGATAATCTCATATCCGCACAACAGATGAGATCGACGCCTAAAGGTTATTTCGCCAAAAAACTTATACCGGCGCCGTAGCAAATCCCATCAATTAAAGCAATGATAGGCTTCTTGCATTCGTAAATTGTGTTCAGGGAATCTTGCATGAACTATCATGAGCCACTTGGCTTTAAAGCTACCTGGATTTCTTGGTAGAGCCTTTTTGCCTTTTTTGCTATGTAAATCAATGGTCAACCAAAGTACCTCCATCCATATTTGGCGAATTGAGCTCAACAAGAAGAGACTTGAGATATTGGACTAGATCAATAGTTGTACAAAAACAACACTTACAGTCAATTCCGCTGCAGAAAACCCCTGGTGTGGACGATGATAGAACAACAGAGTGGATTGACTTGTCTTCATTTATGAGCGTGAAGCATCGAGATATTTCCACAAAGGCCCTAGGGAAAACCCGAATCATGGCTTACTCTCTTGAGAGTGCATTTAAAGTGCTTGGAATATTGAGCATTACAATGGCAATTGAGTCATTTGTAGAATGACGACTGAAACTTATCGTCCCATCAGTGTTAAACGGATTCTTTGGCCTGGGCTTGGGATGGACAGAATCAGTGCTCATTGAAATTTAAATGCACTTTTGGTCAAAATAGTCAAATCGATCATTTTGAATGCTTATTGAAGCATATTCGTCAAGTCGGCAAATTAAACATTCCAAATGGCAATAATTTATTGCTGTCAGTGCAGGAAAGAATTTTTGACCCTAATTTAGGGACAATTTGTTTGCACGGTTTACACCAAATTTGGTAACGGTGTTTTACAAGCGCGCCGAAAGTATTTATATTTAACTTCAATTCCACGTAGTGATGTATTTATTGGTCGCCATTTGGGTTTGCATGTGCCTGCTGGATGATGCTTTTGTTTGCAATTCTTTACACTTCAATATTTGACCAAACGGCGAATCACTTTAAGTTTAAATGCAAATTCCAATTTCTTTTGTGCCCTCGCTTAATTGGGTTTTGCGCTTACCAATGGCTATTTCTTTCCGAAACTTAATTGGTCATCATGCATGAAATATGAGCTCAATGTAAATTTATTGTTTATTGCCTTCTTTACTGCCGGGAAATGACAGCAGAAACACCAAGAAAATCAATTGCTAACCGTGTTATTGAAATGATCGCAGGAGACCCCGAGGATGAGGGCAAGATCGCCGCAGATGAAGAGAGCATCACTGTTTCTAATGAAAAAATTTCTGCAGAGGAAAAAAAAAGCTGGATATCATCAAACGGTGCAAATCTTGAAGAAAAGGAAGATAAGGATTTGGCGATGGCATCAAGAAAACGAAAGCCTGGTAACCTGGCAACGAAAACTCCCGTTGACGAGACGGTAGGGGTGATAAGCGAAGAGTCCGTCTCTAAAACCGACTTGCCAATGTCCGAGGCGAAAGAAAAAGTGCAGGCACAAGTTAATGATGTCCTTGAGCGTCAGATGGCTGGTGAGACCACACCATTGCGACAAAAGGAAGTCGAGAATGTAGTGGAAGAAAATGGTACTACTAATCTATTAGTGGCGAATGGTTCACGATCTTCGATCGGAGAATCACCGCTGAAAAATCATGTCATTGAAACAGAGGAGATGGCCCGGGCCACCACAACACCCGGAGAAAAGATCCCAGAACCCAAATCTTCAGAGGAAAAGAGCTCCGCTGCTTTTATTGCGAGTGCCTCCAAAACTTCTCTGAAAAGTGCCGCAGAAACATCGACCAAAAGCGCCACAAATGTATCCACAAAAAGCGCCACCAATGTATCGACCAAAAGCGCTACAAATGTGTCCACAAAAAGCAACCTCAGTGGCGGCAAAGGCAGTTCCACCAGTGTTTCAAACAATGCCGCAAATGGCTCGAAGGGTGTAGTAGCGACTAGCGGCATTTCGAATTCGTCGCTACGTGACTCGTCCATTGTGAGCGGTGGCATTTCGACGACGCCCGTCGCTATTCATAGCGGCACCTTCTGGAAGCAAGGAAAATATCTTTCATGCTCGTGGAAAGAGCGTCACTTCCAGCTATTTTCAACCGGAGAGCTCAAGTGGTACCTTCCTGGAAACTCGGCGACTGTTAAAGGGATACTTGCCAATGTCAATAGCTCGTCAACAGTCATAAATCTCCCAGAGAAAAAAGTGAATGTCACTCGGGCAGACAAGTCGAAGCTGTCCCTTCACATGCTGGCGCTCAAGACACGGGGAGCAGGTAGCCAGCTATCACCTAAGACCATGCTGCTTGGAATGGAAAGTGAGCAAGAGATGATGACGTTTATTGAGAAAACCAAGCAGATAAGCATATCTGCAAGTAACTAAATTTGACTAAAATGTAATCTATCACATTGTAAGGCTGAGGTTTCGTATGATGACACCCTTTCGCTTTAAGAATTTCCGCTTTAAAATAGGGCTATCATGGCATACGATTTTTAAATCGTATTCTCACGAGCGCCTCCGTTCGCCTGTAGATATGGGCATCCAACTGTGAATCATCATCTGGATTTCAAAAAGCCACCCACAGCCTGCTCACAGCCTACTCACAGCCTACTCACAGCCTACTCACAGGAGTCCACACGAATACGATGGATGAAAGCCGGAATGCGTCTAAGCTCAAGATCAATTCTAGGTATTTGGCCAAGGGCATCCTCGACGGTCGTTGACCAGTGCTTATTTGGCGAAGAAAAGACGTGGACAAGCCATGAAATGTGTTCCTTGAGGCATTAACAAATGCTTATCATTAATAAACGAGTAAATGGCGTATATATGCCGTGGTTGAGCGGCCAGCCTAACCCTCCACCAGAAGGCCGGCGAACTAACGGTGGATTTAACTTTAAGGAGGGAGAGTATAAGGGGGCAGATCCAATTGTGGCTGGAATATGATCCCGCATAGCGGCTAAATTAATCTCTTGCAATGACCGTCAGCATGCCTATTGATTGCTTTAATATTATTTTAGGGCACCATGATGGTCTTTTTCTATGTCTGAGTTTTTCCTAAGCTCTGCAAAGAAGGGATGGCGCAGCGCTTCTGCAGCATCAATTCGGCGAGCAGGCGAATAGATCAGACATCGCTATAGTTAATAAGACCCCTCTACCTCCAGTAGATCAATCCCATCCGCATCGAGGGTCGGAATCACTTTGGCTAACGGCACGCCCGGAAAGAATGGGATGTCATGATGCTGCATGATAAGCACACCCTGGTGGTAATCATACCTTGCCCTCAGGATATGAGTCAAGCTCTGGCCAGCGTTTTGTGGTTGGCGTGCCAAGGATTCTATAGTAAGAGTCTAGAGTACTTGGCAATCCGAACCAACTGATCTCGAGCGCACGTGCCTGGGAACAGCGGCCGTCCCAGGGCCATCTCTATCAAAGTAAAAGGGTTCGTTGGTGAATTTTTGAATATCAAGGCCGTTCACAAGGCATTGGATTGTGATGGTCAATCAATAAGTACCTACCTGCAAAGATGCAGCCAACCGACCAAATATCGATGGGAGTTGCGTGTGAAGGTGCTCCAAACAGAAGGTCTGGGGCACGGTACCAAAGCGTCACCACCTCATGGGAATATGTTGTCATAGGGAGACCAAAAGAGCGTGCAAGCCCAAAATCGGCAATTTTTAGTTCACCACTCTAAAAAAAGAGGTGACACGCAACCTTTTGGATAAGAATGTTCTGCGGTTTCAGATCTCTGTGGAGAATCCCAGCAGCATGGCAATATGAAACTCCTACGCATTAAATGGCCCCTAAATACCTAAAATCTATTCCTGGAAACTACCTTGGAAAAGTTGGAAGACCAGGTGCTAGACATTAACAAGCATTTTTACCTTGATTGTGGCAAGAGACAGAGTACCGTGGTGCAGGTCAATATATTTTTGCAGGTCGTAATCCACATATTCGAAAATCAGCGTGAGCTTCCGATGTGAGTGGAGTACATCATAGAGTCTACATGGGGTCGGTGCTTTTCAGCCTTACCGCACGATATTGGGATCCCGAAGCTCTTTTAGAATCGCAATTTCTCTGATGGAAGTACATGGCAATCCCTGAAGTGCATTTAAAACGATCCAAATATATACCTGCATAATTGATTATGCTAGACATACCTATAAGGATTAATGGTGAACAACAAAAATACGCACCTCATCATCATTCTCAAGCCGGATCCGCTTCAACGCCACAACAGTTCCTGTACGTTTATTTTGTGCTTTATAAACAACACCAAAGGAGCCCTCCCCCAACTTTTCTATCTTGTGGTACTGATCCATCATATTTAAGAACGGAATAAAAATACCCCGAGAATATAATCCAAATTGAAAGTAGGGTTAAGATTGAACTGGATAAAAAATTTGCATCCCCAATTTTAATTAATTGCATAAAACCAAAAAATCTATCGCACCAATAGAATACACGGATTTGCTACCTTTTGCCAATCCACTGAACTTTTCCAGTCACCAAGACAAAATTCAAGGTTCGCAAATGCGTTATTTTTATCGGGCTTCGAGACAATCTCTCTTTTAAGCGGCCTTCGATTGATTAGATACTGAAAATGGTCGGAGGTGCACCACTTTGTTTTTCTTGCATTGATAATTTTCCGTATATTTCCCTTTTCTAAGAAAAATACTACCTGGGCTTTGATAAAAATGGGCCATGTATTCTGTATTGCTTTATAAACACATTTGGTTGAGTTAGATACGATTTGTAGCACTAGTGGCAACATTTGTCCCGTATGTCTACTTTAGTATTTCAACTGATGCTAAGAGGATTATTTAAGCCTACTGTCTCATATAGCTACATGTGCTGATATTGAACTTTTTATGTTTTAAGAGTCTTATTGGATAAGATCGTAAGAACGCTTTTTATCCCCGGAAGAATCAAAGAGATAAGTCCTACCACCATTGAAATTAAAAACAGCTCAATTTTAAATTCCAATTCAATCGGCGTACTTTTCATTTGCAGTTTAAATTTAACCGCTCCTTCTGGAACCCAAATTGTGGAGGCGTAATTCAAACCAACCATCATTCGATAAAAATAGATGTACATCAAACAGGTAGGCATATGTTCCAACGGCCCCTTTTTCTAGTTGACCATCTGTAATTTCAAGTCCTATGCTGGTCGCGAACCAACAATTGTCGGTCCACTTTCTCCCCAATACAACGTTGTGGTGGGTCGTAATGGTTCCGGAAAGAGCAATTTCTTTGCAGGTAAGAAATGGCATCCTAACATCAGCGATCCGATTTGTACTTAACGATGCATATGCAAGACTTGGTGCTGAGGAACGCCTTGCACTAATTCATGTAAATCGCCATTAGTTCATCGGTAGGACGCCGAGGCTGCTGGGACAGATGCTACCGCATGGGTAGAGATTCTCTTTGAGAACAGTGACCTGCGCATTCCTGTAAGTACGATTTCGGTTATCGATATAGACTGGAAAGACAGAGGTCGCTATTAAACGCACACTCACCCGACAGGCCGACCATTTTTCCGTAGATGGACGCGTGTTGACGCGAGGAGAACTCAACAGTCTATTGCAGGCAGCAGGGTTTTCACAAAGCAATCCGTTCTACATTGTGCCGCAAGGTCGAATCACGGCACTTACCAATGCCCGTGATGAGGAGCGGCTTGCCCTACTCAAGGAGATCGCTGGTATGACTACTTATGAGGGCCATCGGGCTGAGGCATCCAAGATTCTCTGTGAATCGGATTCCCGAATTGCAAAAATACGTGAAATGCTCACCGCTATCTCTGAGCGACATGAAGAGCTTAGTGAGGAACAGAGAAAGCTGATTTCTATGGAACGGGCAGATGAAGAGCGGCGTGCATTAGAATATACGCTGCTTACGCGTGAGCAGGCAGAAGTCCAGAGCGCACTGGAGGCACAAGGTGATTTCCCCGCCGCAGAAAGCAGTTCTTCCACTTTTCGGGAACTTGAGGAGCGTGCGGGTCGCGCACAAGAAGCTCGAGCCACCCTTACTCAAGCTACAGAAATGTTACAAACCATGCTTCGCCAGCAACATACCATCGTGCGAGAGCGTCGTGCTGCCCTTGCTGATGGCGATACAACTACCATGTCAGCACCTGATGCTGCTTCGCAGAGCTATTCCATCTCCACACCCGATACGCATGACATCCTGCATCCCACTAACACGTCCACGCATGTTATCAGTCGCCTAGAAGAAGAAAAGGCGGCACTGGAAGCACGGGCGGAAATCATGGGGCGCGAGCTGTCTGTGTACACGGCGCGCCTCGAACATTATGTGGAACAGGAAGCCGATCTCGAGATGCGCATTGCACAAATCCAATCTCGTTCTCCAAAGATGCTGGCAGCATTGAAAATAGAGCTGGAAAATACGATTGCCGCCAAAAGCTCTCTGTTAGCTGAGCGGATTCGCCATCAGGAACAACAAGCACAATTGACAGCAGCTCTCAACAATCAAGAACAGAAAGTCATCCCGGAAGCGCAAACATCATTACAAGCAACTAAAGCGCGAGCAGCCCAGCTGGCCACCGCTCGCCGCGCTCTTTGGCAAGAAGAGACAAAAAATCGCGCCGTTCTCCCTGCATTGCAGGAGGAAATGTTGAGCGTAGAACGCGAGCTTTTTGCCACAGCTCCTGATCGTGCCATATCGCTCGGGCTTTCCTCTTTACGCCGTATATTGGCAGATCATGACAGCAAAAGTCAGAAAGAAAACCAGACTAGTTCTCTGGAACACAAGTCCGTTGCTGCTGGTATTTTGGGACCACTTTATGAGCTCATTTCGGTTGCTGATCCTGTTTATGATGCGGCTGTTGAGGCCGTTGCTGGTGCACAGCTTTTCCATGTAGTTGTAGAAAATGATGATGTTGCGGCTGCTCTCGTTTCGGCATTGGCTTCCCGAAATGCGGGTCGCCTTACTTTTGTGCCCCTCAGCGCCATTAGCGAAACAACGACGCATGTTTTGCCCGCCGATGATTACTCCGTAGCGGATAATATCCTGCCGATGACGAATATTGTCTCTGCGCGCGATGCACGCATTGAGCCTGTATTACGCTCCATTTTTGGAAACACTGCAATCGTAGAGAGTCTCGATGAAGACGGGCCCGCGGGGATGACCCGGCCGCCCACCCATTCGTTAGTCACGCTGGAGGGTGATCGAAGAGATCGCAGGGGCGCCATCACAGGAGGCTATGTAGATACTCGACGTTCGCGACTTGCGCTTGTAAGGCGAATCACAGCATTGCGGGATCAGAAAATTGCACCCATTTTGGCGACCCTTTCTTCGATTGAGGAACGCAGCGAAAAGATCGACCGGGAGGCTGCTCAAGCAGCTGGATCGATTGCTCAGTTGGAGGTGGCGCTGCAGCGCTATCATATCGCTGCAGAGAGGCTCAGAGCCGAGTTAACTACAGGACAACGGTTTGCTGATGAGAGGTTTGATGCTGACGCTGATTCTCTCCAAAATGAGCTTGCTTTGTTGCGTGTACGTCTCGCGAACCTGCAAAAAGATACTGACCTCGATCTGAGTCAAGCTACAGGCGGTCAGTTAGACACAAATTCGAGCCAGAATAGGGTCCTTGCTGACCACATGGAGGAAAAATTGCTAGCCTTGCGGCTAGGTGGCGAGCGCGAAACATTGCGGCAGCAAGTAGAGCGCCTGCGTGCTGAATTGATAGTCCGTGTTCAGGGCCGCCTCGAGGCCATCGTAAACCGAGAATTACCTGCAGCCAAAAGCGCAGCAGCATTACTGGAGGCCTCACGCGCTCAACAGGCCACATGGCGAGAACAATCCGAGGCGCTGCTAGCAGAAGCAGAACAGGGATATGTAGCCATGAAAGCTGAGTTTGAACGGGTCTCAGCAGCCCTTGAACAGGCCGTTGTAGAACAGGAGGCAGCTGAGATGTCGCTAGAAGCTTTCCGTATGAAACACGCCCATGACTCTGCTGCAACAACGCGGCTACATTCACAACGTTCCACCTGGACCATGCGGCTACAAGAAATCGATCGACGCATTCGTGAACTTGGACATATTCCTGCTGCCCAATTAGAAGCTCTACGTTCTGAGCGCACTCAATTGCTACGGGCACGTCTTTGTTCTACCAGCAATCCACAGCTCGGGATTGGTGCCATCGTTGGGCGACGCACTGCGGGTGAACAGCAGCTGGCAGCGATGGCCAAGCAACGCATTACGTTACAGGAACGTGAGCGCGAGCTCACCGCGTCTGCCACAGCTATCCAGTCGTATATTGCCACACTTGATTGTCAAAAGGATGCTGTAGTGTTGCGGACGTTTGAGTCTCTCGCTGCTGCGTTTGCTGAGATTTTTGCGGAAATTGTGCCTGGAGGCTCTGCATCTCTTATTCTGACGCGTCGCTTTTTCGAGCAGGATGAGAACGTACCAACTACCAACCCATCCGTGGGTCCATCAGAAACATCTTTAAAAGCAAATGGATTACAAAATGACCCAAAAAGAAATTTTCTTGCGCTTGCAGCTGAGGCGGCCGTTCACGAGTCGACCCTCTTATCAGCCACACAAGCTGCAGAATGGACAGGGATCTCTGTTAAGGCGAGCTTTGCTCCGGGGGCATCATCTCTCTCCACGGGGCTGCTCTCTGGCGGCCAGAAAAGCGTTATCGCATGTGCATTAATCTTTGCCATCCAGCGCTGCGATCCTGCACCATTTTATATCTTTGATGAGATCGATGCAAATCTCGATGCTCCGCATCGCACAGCCATCGCTTCCATGATTTCGCGCCTTTCGTTGCCGCCATCCTCCACCACGGCAGGCTCCTCAGCAGTAGGAGCACAATTCCTGGTGACAACGTTTCGACCAGAACTAGCTGTACATGCCGACCGCTTCTTTGGAATCTCTCTGCTTTCACGTGTCTCCCGCATCAGAGAAATCCAACGCGAGGAAGCCCTCGACTTTATTGTTCGCGATGCTGAATAAGATGAATATCTGGGGTGATACACCGAATAGTTACTTAATTAAATGACAGGCCGTCCCATTTAATCGTTTTTTGAATTAACAGATGCGTCTCGAGTTGGACCCGCCTCCGCATGCACTAACCACCGGCGTGTCGCGGTTCCATCTATTTAACTACGAAAAACTACTAGCTCCAACAGCACCTGTCAATATCCAAGTACCTATGGCTCCCAGTGCCATATCGCCTGCAAAAAAATCTCGACGCAACTTTGATGTAGGGGATTACGACTTTGAGGATCCTTTCATCGATGATGGCGGAGGCAGGAATGGGGACATATCGGAACATTCCAGTCAGTTATCTGGGTTTCCCCGTGCTTCCGATTATTATATTGAGGAGATTCGGCGGGCTGTCCCGAAGAAGCGCCCTGTAGCTGAAGAGCCTAAACCTCCCAAGACAAATGGCGCTGTAATCAAGGAGGAAACACAAGACTCAAAGCAAAAACCGAAACACAAAGCTTCAAAGAAAAAGACACCGGAACAAGCACCTTACAAGCCAAAAAAGGGCTCCAAAAGTGCCAAACTCTCAGTGGGTCTTGCAAAGGATACAAGCTCAAAGAGAACAAAGCCAAAAAATATGAAGACGCATGAACATAAGAATGGATCTGTGTCCATATCCATTGACATCGCACCGATGGGACGAACAGAGGCTACGGACAGCAAAACTGGACCACCCCCTGTCGCGTCAAAAACGGTTGCCCAAATGCTACAGGATTCAGCTCCTGGGCTTCTTGGGGCCTTTGAGCAACGATGGGGAAGTCGTAMAAGCATTTCGGGACCTGACGCCCATATGGTTCTCAATGAGATCCGTGAGAATATGCTGTTGCTTTTCGATGATGATGCCGATGAAGACCAGACACAAAAGGAAATACCTAGTGAATCAACAAAAAGGATTATTGATGAGTCTACCTCTGAGTTGGTTTATGAAGCAATTGGAGAAAAAACTTTTGAGATGTCACCGACAGATATTCTCACGCTTGAAAGTGGAAATGCTAGCGAGTCCATGGATGTTTCTTGCAAGGAAATTTCTTCTTTGGAAAAAAATCGTGATAGCTCAGTCACTATCACTCGAGGAGCAGATCGCGGGGGTAAATATTCTGCGGTCAGTGTGGCGCTTACAAAAATCCCTATAGAAGAGCTTGGAGCTCTGATTGATGATATCTCTGCGGAGCAGGAGAACCGGCTCAATGCCATTCGTGCTACACTTAAAGCATGCGATGAGAAGAAAAAACCACTAGTCTCGCTCCAGCGACTTATATATGAATTTGTGGAAGCTTTTGTGATCAGAGAGCTTCTGCTTGCGACGAAAATCTCCAACACCGAGTTACTGATGAAGAGTCGACTAACACTGCGGCGCTCGGCATATGCTGCTCTGCTGCTTGCACTCTCGCCATCCTCGCAGACACTATCGACAAGCACTTTTGCAAAGGCTTACGCACGAGAGAAGCGGAAGCGCGTTGCAGCCAACATGACGAGTATGGAGCCAATAGGTCATACAGAAATCCTATCTCAGGAAACCGGAGATTTGCCCTGTGTGGTATCTATAGAACCGGCGTCGAAATCGCTTTTATCTATGCCAGTCTGCAAACCAGCTTCTGTTATGCCAGATCCCCCCCGCCGGCGGATCCTCGCTGATGAGCCTGACGGCTCTTCTATCAGAGCTGCAGTATTTGCACACCTTTCTGCTTTACATAAAATGGCCGAAAGGCGAGGCAAAGTTGAGTCAAAAACGATTGTTCCCTTGGCAATGGAGCTGCATCATACTATCAAAGAGGGGGATCTAATCCTTCCTGCGGTAGATTCTGTTTATCCTGCTTCTGAACTGGAATTACCGGCAGATATAGGGATTCCTATAGCGGAACAATACTCTCCCTCTGATTCTCCTTTGTCTGATGTAAGTCATATTGAACACATTGAGCATCCGAAGCCCGTTTCACCGATGGTACATGCGAGCGTCTTAAAAGGTTTGGAAACCCCCGCCTCTCATGTGGCCGTCTTGAACTCTCCTATATCTTCCAGGCTTGGAGAATATCGGATGTGTGATGCAGCCATTGGTGAAGCTAAAAAAACATAGAAATCCTTGAGACAAACGGCCAGGGGTATGGAGACCCACATTTGGCCAGTCAAATGCACGCTGGATTACGTGTGCTGGACGAGCATGAAACCCATACAATTTTCATCGGGGATAATGATGCTGAGGAATGCCTAAACACCGCTTACACGCACCACGCCACCAGCGATGCGATTGCGGCCAAACAGAATGGGCAGACACCATCTTCAGAACAGTAGATTATGTCAAGTAAAATAAATATACGTATCATCATCATCATCAGCATTTTATTAATCGGTAACACATGTCAGACATCCAAGGAAGTGTTCACTATCATCGGAAACCTATAGTGGAAACTGCGAATTTATTGGCTTGTCATCATCCCGGAGATTCGAGCCTAAAGGTAAGAATTTCAAACAAAAATAAGATGGTTTAATCAGAGTTCTGCATAATCCTCATCGATATGATAGGACTGGGGCGGCAGAGTTCATCACGAAAACAAAAGACAAATACTTACATCTCGAATTAAATTTTAAATTTGCAAGGGGCACTTATCAAGATGAAAATAAAATTTAATAATGGGAGCATTGTGGCCGGGTTTTGCATGTGGCGTGGGATGGCACATTATAGATGACCCCTAACCCTAAACAGGGGCGTTTATTTTGACAACTTAAGGTTGCTCCTATGCTGCGCATTTGAAAGGAATTAAATTGAGGTTAAGGATGTGGGGGCAGATTTGATTTATAAGCCTCTAAAGGTCAGTATTTTCCAGCTTCAAAGCGATTTCCTGAACAAGGGAGGCGATGGGAACTAGCTTTCCCTTGTCCTCTCGATCGTAGGCCTGCTTTATGCGAACGCTGCCCGCGGCTATCTCGTCCTGTCCGAAGATGACCAGGATTGGGACCATGTTTTTCTCGGCATATTCGAAAATATCAAAAGGCCTATTCCGCTGCTTCAATGGCGTCTCTGTGGGTATATTAGCAGAGCGAAGCATTTGGCAAATAGCGAGATGTTCAGACAACAGCGGATCACCCAGCGACGCGACGAGCACTTGAGTTGGGATTGTTTTGGAAACAATGGAGGATACTGCTTGCTGTGCCTCCATGATGGCAAAAATTCTCTCGATGCCAATGCTCATCCCCACACAAGGAATGGTGTGTCCAGAGTTGGAAAAGTTTTGCACCAATCCATCATATCTTCCGCCACCGGCAATGGAACCTATAAAAAATAGCGTAAATTGGGGCATACCAACAAAGTTGTGCTTGTTCTCAAACAGGACAGCCTCGGTAATCATTCCAGTGTAGTAGTCGAGCCCTCGAGCAAGAGAAAGGTCCAAGATAACTCTGGATTTCTGTTGCTCCTCCTTTACCACCATCATGTTGATAAATGAAAAGAGCCGTTGCAGCTCGGCAATGCCAAGCTGCGCAGAAGCGTTATCGAGAAGAATAGGGTCAGAGGCAAGTTCCTTTAAAAGTGAGCAGGGATCTCCCTTCTTCGAGACAAACGAGCCGATATGATCTGCCACTTCATAGCCAAGTCCTTTTTCGGAGATCATTTCTGAACGGACCTCCTCCCATGGTGTCTGGATGTTAGCTGAGCATGATACCTTGTCAAGCTTATCGACCGACGAGCAAATTGTACGGAATGAAGCACAAGGCACTCCACATGCCTCGAAAATGCCGTCTAAAAGCTTGCGATGGTTGATTTTGATAACGAATTCGCCTATCTTGAGACGCGACAGCACTTGATGCATGATGGCAATGATCTCCGCATCGGCAAGCATCGACTCGTATTGCCCTGCAATATCAAAATCCTAAAAGACGGATGGCGATCAAAGTTACATGCTTACACATTGATAGAATTCTCTAAACCGACCCCGAGTCATGATCGGTTGATCCCGGCGATAGACCTTGCCGATATGGTATCTCTTTATGGCCTTAATATGCTTGTTCATTGCAAGAAACCTTGCAAATGGAACGGTAAGATCGTAACGAAGCGAACAGAGCTCGCCGCCTTGGTCTTGAAGGTCAAAGATGAGCTTGGAATCTTCGCCATATTTATTTGTAAGAACCTCCTAGGAACGGTAATAAAGGCCTTAGGTGTATACCTTTAGCTCAAAGACCGGGGTATCAATAGTAACGGCGCCGTAAAGCTTGAAGCATTGTGTGATGATGGAGAACGCCTTCTCTCTGATGGCCATTTCAGCAGGCGCATAGTCTTTGGTGCCCTAGGGGTTCATGCTAAGAAATCGTGCAAGTACCTTTGGGGTTTTGAGATCGATCTTTTCCGAGCTGCCCATGATTGAATGCAAACGTCGCTTGGTGTAAAATAAGTGGGAAAAAAAGTGATGTTTAGTCAGCCTATATAGCTGAAGGTTAATAGAATAAATAATCTTTGGTGCTAATGTCGATGAATAATTTTTGCGAATATTTATTGTGCAAGCAATAATTTTGACATTCCCCCTGCTCCGTATTATTTACATTAAAGAAAAGTGGGGGACCATGCACTTCCCCTTTCACTGGTAGGCATTTATGCCCAGCTGGAACGTTCGGCGGCCATTGGACCAACAAAGCGATGATCTTCGATTTTGTAAATTTGCTGGATTATGGCAACCTTACCCTAGCCGACCACCACACAATCATCAATTGGGCCAATTTCGTTGAAATTTAAAATAAAAGCAAAATTTTGCAATATGGAGGTTTTTACCGACTCAAGGAGCCATGTACAGTCTACTTGCACCTTTTTGTTTCCGGAGTTTCCCGTCAAGCTTAATGAGGCAATTCTGGAGCAGGCAAATATTCGGGCTCATCGGGTTCAATTGGACAGGACAAAATTGTACATTGGATCGCATTTCACCTGTAGATTTATCAAATATATCGACCTGTTGGATGGCATTGACCACGAATCTGACGCTCCTCCCATCTTGTATACGCCCAAAAAAATGTCAAGGATTAAATTGACGGTGAAGACGCCAACTTCTGGCCCATCCTCGCCAAGGCCAGCCGATCATCAGGGCATACAAGGTTTGCAATTCAATCCATTGGCGCTTGTTTCTTTTTTTGGATGTCGTTCATGCATTTACATTTTAGTTGGCATTTCGGAATTTCCTTTACTTGGGCAACACTCTGGTTCTGCCTTTCAAGCAAAAGCCTCTTGCTTGCGATTTGAATTTGACGAGCTCTCTTCACCTACAAGTTTGCGCACCAAGGCCTTACGTATTTAGGACGGAAAAAACTCTATTCAATCGATTGCTTTGTTAAAAACCTTTCAACAATCAGCGCAATGCATCTGGACTGCAAAATATCGGCTTCATCGGAGTATCTGACAATTGTGTCCTTTGATAAATATGACATTCTTAGAGACATCCCCTCAAATAAACTCGGCATGATCAAGGAAAAGCTCCAAACTATCGGCTCAAGGTTTAAAGATATCAAGGCTGATCAGGGCGAGTGGAATTTTGATGCATACTTGTTCTGGCTCAACATCTCCATCTTGATTCTTGTATGCTACGAGTTTTCGCAGGCTGATGACCAAGTAAGTGGTGTGATTTTTAATTTTTTGTAGCCAGATCCCTCCGATTCGGGGCTCTTTGAGTGCCTGGGCATTTTGGAACACTTATTGCTAGGTGACTGTTTTTGTGGTACTCGAGCCTTGCTGATCACTAGAATTCCACTCTCGCCCCTCTACGCTTGCCAAATTAGAAAGGCTGCTGACATTTTTCAACGCTTCGCCTTGTAATGTGATTTTGTGTAACGAAGGCTATTCAACTCAGGTTTGTCATTCTTTTTTACTTGCAGGTGCAAATGATGCTTTTGGCAATGTATTTGAAACCGGAGCGGTTTGGCGCCGTATCGTGCGAGTTGATCTTGTTTGTGGAAAAAATCATTTACCGCTATCCTTGTTTGTTGGAGCCGACGTCCAAAGTGTACATATCGCACATTTGCAATGCTCCTCATGGCAACAATTGGGACGCAAAGCTACTTTGTGCGCTATTGCGGTCATTTTTCTGCAACGAAAAGATTGCTTTACACGGTGCTTCTCATGCGATTTTGCTGGAAAATTTCAAGGAAATGTCCACTTTTTTAGATTCGCTGATACGGATCTTGTTCCAGGATTCGCAAAAACATTCTTCTGGTGTTTTTGCGTTTCTTGGCGCTTGCTCCTCCAATCTTGGCGATTCGCTGCAAAACGGAGATCTTACCCAAATTACGGTTACAAAGTACATCATTAAAACTTGCATTGGCATTCTTGATGATTGCAAGGCCGCTTCTTCTTTCAAGGCGTCGGTATTGGATCTTTTATTCAAAATCCTAACCTCGTTTTTCGAATTTTTTGCACATAACGTGTCTTGTGGACACGTTCACGCTTCTCCAAATTGGTCTTACATTCAGGATCATGAATTGTTGAGGCAATCATGTATTTCCCTATGCTACACATCTTATATCATCGATCAGCACGACTATTCGATGATGGCAAAGATCAATTCCAATGCCATGGACTGCCCTTTTATTGGGAACGCCGATTTGCCGTCTTTATTGGGCTCTTTTGCTTGGGTCTCCATTTACCCTTTTATCCAAAACGTAAACTTTAAGCTTTTCCAACTTTCTTCTGATGCCAATGTTTCGCTGAAAACCCGATCCATCAAATACCTGTGCGATTTGTACAAAACCAATTCAAAACTGTTGCCTACGTTTAATGTGGTCGAAAAAATGCTTCGCATGCGGTATCAGGACACCTCTGCCCCGGTTAGGGAGCTTATTGTGGATTTTTTGGCCGAAGTATTTCGGTATGAAGAATGTGCAATACAAAGCGTGCTTGATATTTTGCTGCACTTGGTACAGGTAAATTGGACCTGCAAACCATCTATCATGTAGGATGCAAATGCTGGCATTCAAAAGAAGGGAATGTCAATTTTATCTCAAATACTTCAAACCATGCCAGCGCAACGAAACTATTTTACGCAATTATTTGCCATTTTGTGTTCCAAGCTAACGCACGCCAATTTGTCGATTCGCTGCCATGCGGCCAAACTTATTTTCCCGCTGTTGGCGAGGCAATCTTATGAACTTCTTTCAACATTCGTCGATGCCCTTTCCCGTTACGATGATCATTTGGTTATCACCGGGTTGAATTCATTTCAACTCGCCCAAGAAGAGGATCCCAAGCACCACGCACAACCCAACAATTTAACAGACCTTTTCGAACAATGTTCAAACACTTTTAAGGGTATCTTGACACAGATCATCGAAAAAGACATCGCAAGCGATGTCCTTAATTTCGTTAAATTTTTTTCTTGTCTGCTTCAATGTGGTGAGACAAGTAGTACGGCGTTTAGCAGTGCGTTTTTTCCGCTCTATTTAACCCTGTTTTGCCCGGAGCCAAAGCTGCTCAACTATTCTCTCAACATGCAGTATTATTTAAGTGTCGTTCTGTGCATTGTACTTGAGCGAATGCCCATTGTGTCTGAAGTGCATTTGCTTCAGCTGTCAAAGTCCATCGTTTCTGCTTTGAACCGTTGCCATGAAAAGATGCTTGGCAAGCTCGTTGAGCTTTTATCGGTCATGTCTTTGCGAAACAGCAATTGCTGCTGCATTCTGGATTCTCTGTTTACAAAACTTTATGAAAATGTACACAAGCACATGGTTGATAAGTGCATCGGTAATTTGAGCTGTAGATCGGTTTTTCTGCTTGGCATAATGTCGCGTGTAGCGCAAAACCCCTCCACTGAGGCTAATGTGTCAAAGGCTCTGGAGACGGCATCCTGTCTTGTGGCCAACTTTAGCAGCCATCTGTCTTCTTCTCAGATACGATCCATTTTGTTGCTGCTAACTGAAATATCAACATCAAGGCAAGACATCTCGCTGATCCCGCAGTTTAAGGATTTTTTTATACAAATACTTTCTTTGCATTCGACACATGACTATTCTGATGAGCATTGCAACTTGGTTCTTCAGTGCATTTCTAAAGCAGCCGTTGGATCTATCAAAAGCGATGTACATTCCGAAGCGCAAGTTGAGGTGCAAAAAATATCCATCGAAGGAAACATGTACTTTTTGACCGAATTTTTTATTGTAGCATATCATCGGGAATATCTCAGGTGTATTTACAGCATTTATTACGGCTATGCTGTACGCCGAACCGGCAGCTGATATTTCTTTGTGTGTCTTTGCTTTATCTATTTTTATCCAATGGACTTATCCATCCTTCATCGGCTTCCGCTGAATTTATTATCTTTTCATCAGCGTCGCATTTGCAGTTGAAAAAGGCAGCGATGGAGGGTATGGATTTCCTATTTTCAAGATATCAACACTTTATACTTTCCAAAACAAAAGAGGCTTTGAGCATGGGCATCCGTATTTTGGCGCAAGACGGCGGTATGATCGGATTGCTTTTTAAACTTAGGCTTTCATGAAATCCTTGACTGCAAATCGCTGTTCGTTGAATACTACAATAGGATTCGCCAAAAAAGAACCAACAGAATCGATTTTGTCAACGCAGTTGATGGGCTTTTTTTCCCATCCGGAAAAATGCTTTCGCCACCGGAGGCAAAAATCCTGTTTCAGATGCTATCCAACATTCCATTTGAAACGTTTGAGGAAATATCGATGATACGGCAAACCTGTATTTCTTGGCAAACAAAACTGGATGCCATTTATGAGGATGATGGCGCTTGCTGTGCATCTGCGGCGGCCAAACAAATTTGCCATTGGATTGGAGAATTTTTGGACCACATTAAGATACTTTACGGACTAAACGAAAGCCATTTTCGGCAAGATGCGCAAAAATCCCAATTGACCTTGAAACGAACCTCTTGTTCTCTTGCCTTTGAACCTTCAGATTTGAAGCTCCAATCGGCTACCGATGCTACTGACCCTCGAGATTTTGACGGTCAAAATGGCGAAAATGCTGCCGCCAATGTAAACCATTTAACTTCAAAGAGTAAGCGACAAAAACCTGTGAAGCCTTTGAAAAAAATCAAACCCTCTATCAAGTGGTTTTCGTCTGCCATCATCAGTGATGCCGATTCTATGTCTGACGATGAAATTCAAGACAGCTAAAGTTTATTAAAATTCAAGGTATTAATTTTATAAGATTTTTTATGGATAAATTTCCGCTTAAAATTGGCTTTCTGTGCTCCGAAAAAAAGTGGCATGAGCTTGGCCACAGCCTCGAGCAGAAAATCACGAGCATTTCAAATGGCGATATGTTGTTTAGCCACATTCCACTGGCGACCTCGGTGTCGGAAATATCAGCTTCCTTTGACTGCATTCTTCAAAAGGATCCAAGCTTTCTTACTTCCGATATGCCTGAATTGCCCCGCTTGATCAACGACCCCAAGGTTTACAAGCTCCTTTCTTCTCGGGCATATCTTTTTGCTTCGTTAACAAGAGGAGTCCCCGAATGCATCTCATATTTCCCCAAATACATTGTTGACGTTCGAATGCATCCTAGTGTTTCTATTGACGAAATAAGACGCGACATCATTGCTTCCTTGAGCTTTCCCATTATCATTAAAAATGACCTGGCCCATGGGAGTCGTATTTCACATAACATGTGCATTGTAGCGCATCCAGAGGACTTGACTTTCAGCCTGCTTTCCTCCTTGATTGAGGTTTATGACGGCGATGAAGAATATAGTCGACAAAGCCTAATTGGGTATTGTGTTTGATTTCCTTATTTATAAGATCGTCTTTCTTCATTCAAGAATTCATCCCACATTTTAATGTGGTTTTTAAAATCTTTGTCATCGGCGAGAAAGTGTTCAGTATCCCCAGGCCATCTATTGCTTTCGATGTTCATTCAGGTGACGCCGACGTTTAAATAATCGTTAGGCAATCCGTTGATTTTTCATAGCCAAGATCTGCCGAAGCAAACAATTTCGGAACATCTGGTTTCTGACTTCATGCCATCGATAGATCAAATCCTGCACATTAGGCGAAGCTTGTTCCCATTTTCCGCATTTGTATTTTTGACCTTCATACATCATAGGAGTGCGATCTGTTCGGATTTGATTTGCTTGTGGATGAAAGAAGCGGGGCCATTAAACTGATCGATGTAAATTACCTGCCATCATACAAGGGCTGCCCATCTGCAATATCAGCACTTGCCGAATATCTCGTACAAAATTGTCAAAAAAATTAAAATATTTATTTTGCGGTACACGCCGCCACATCGGTAATTTTATCAACAAATTATTTGTCCGGCTGCTGCTGTAAATGCGCCAAATTCAATAGTAAACTTTCGGCATTGAGGTAGACCGAATTGGAGCTTTTTGCAATATGTTGCGCGATCTCTTTAGCCGCTTCGATCTTTCTTAATTGGAGGAAGGCCGGATTTTTTGCAACCGCATCTCCAATAAGAGTGGCTGCCAGTGCCTCGCCTTCTGCCTTGACAATTGTGGATTGCTTCTCTTGAATCGCTCGCTCGATGATGAAGGCCGATCTCTGCGCATCCTGCTGTGCAATCTGCTTGGCTTCAACGGCATGTGCGAATTCTTCGCCAAACTGAACATTGACAAGGGAAACATCATCAAGAATGATGTTGAAAATTGCCGATCGTTCGGTCAGTCTTTCCCGGATCAGTTTAGACACCTTTTCTCGCTGTGTAATGAGCTGTGATGCATTGAATTGCGCCACAACGGCCTTCAGAACCTCGTTGGCGATGGAGGGCAGAACCCTCTCGTCATAATCGGGGCCAATTTCCCGGTGTATCTGTGGAAGGTGTGCGGTATCTGGCTTTGCCAAAACACGAAGAGTGATGTTAACCATCTGAAGATCTACAAATAAATTGCTCTTTAAACCGACCTTTGGTCCCCGTCAGCGATGGGATATTTCGAGGGCGAGCACGAACATCATAAAGATGAACACTTTCAATCCAGGGGATAAGGAAATGCGTTCCCTCTTCATAGACCGTATCAAGGACACCGCTTAGACGGGAAAACTTTACACCGCGATATCCACCATCGACATTAAACAGCGAGGCTTGAATGGCAGCAGCGGTGCCCACAAGTCCAAACGCACCAAGGGAAGATGTAATGGTTTTAAACCCACTCATTGCAATGTAAAATTTAAATTCGGATTTATTTTCTCGTTTATTTATTTAATTTGCCGGAAATGGCCAAAAAAATAAAAAAGGCTCCATCGATCTTTACGAACAATGTGCAGGAGCAATCCAGTGATCGGCACAAACAAGATCTGGAGCATCAGGATGAGTTTAGCGCTGATTTTAGCTTTTTCAGCCACGAAACTGAAGAAGAGCCGATGGATTCCAAGTCACCGGTCTCCGTTGAGCCTCCTCTTACCCTAGATGAAAGCGACATTTTAGAGCAGGTGATCCGTAAAAAAAGGGAGCTTCTTGATCTCTTGTCTCCTTCTTCAATGCCAAAATCTACTTTCAACCTAAACACTAACATTGACCCTAGTGGGGAATTTTCAGATTCCGACTCCGACCTGCCAATGGCATCTGAATTTGATACCGGCTCACATAGCGTTGACACCGATTCTTCTGCTGTCGACTCACCCTTGATTGAGAAGCTTTGCACTGTTTCACAGCAAGCAGCATCTTTCACCGACTTTCAATTGTCAAGACCTTTGCTGAAGGCAATTACGATTCAGTTGGGATTTGTGCAGCCTACCCCAATTCAATCTGCTGCAATTCCGATAATCCTTACCGGGAGAGATGTTTTTGGATGTGCCGTAACAGGGTCTGGAAAAACTGCTGCCTTTGCCATCCCAACCATTGAGCGCCTTCTTCAGGCCCAAGTGGGGGCAAAATCTTCCTCCGCAATCAGGGTTTTGGTCCTTCTTCCAACCCGCGAGCTTGCATCGCAGTGTACCGAGGTCTGGAGACTTCTTTGCCATTATTCAACGTTGGGCATTTGTTTGTTAGCTGGCGGCCTATCTATTGCAACCCAAGAAGCCGAGCTTCGCCGTCTTCCAGATATCATTGTGGCGACTCCAGGTCGCCTGGTCGATTTGCTACACAATTCATCTGCAATCAGTTTAGACTCCATTGAGGTTCTCATTCTTGATGAGGCCGATAGAATGTTGGAAGATGGGTTTTCCGACGAACTAAATTTCATCATCAAGTCGTGTCCTCGGCAACGACAAACGATGCTGTTCAGTGCCACACTCGGAACGACGGCCGCAATTGATGGGCTGGCAAGACTGTCCCTGGTAAGGCCCATTCAGCTGCAAATCAATTCTGCAGAGGCAATTGCATCCAGGCTTAGTCAGGAATTTATTCGTGTCCGGTCTCTCCCTGAAAACGAGACCAGAGACGCACTACTAGTGTCACTACTTGAAATCCTGACTTGTCCAAAATCGGATGACACGGATAAAAGTTCCTCTGGTATAATCGTCTTTTTCCCATCGAAAGATCGAACGCATAAGGCTCGTATTTTGCTCGGTCTTCGGGGATTACCTTCTTCCATACACGAACTTCATGGAGATCTCACTCAAATTCAGCGCTCTACATCCCTTGCTAAATTCAAACAATCTGTGTGCGAAGGAAAGGGCTCTATTCTTCTATGTACCGATGTGGCAGCCAGGGGGCTTGACATTCCCGGAATCTCGACAGTCATAAACTGGTCATTGCCTTCAGAATACATAAAGTATCAGCATAGGATTGGAAGAACAGCTAGAGCCGGCCGCTCAGGGAGGGCAATTTCTCTTGTTGGCGAATCCGATCGAAAGGTGCTCAAATCAGCCATAAAAAATGGCGGTTCGTTGGTGTCGCAAAGGACAATTCCAAGTGAACGATTAATAGAAGCTGCCAAATGGATTTCTTCCGTTGAAATTCAAGTGGCCGAGATCCTTGTCGAGGAGAGCGAGCAGAAAAAGGTAGTCTCCTTTTTTCTAATTTTAGCTTTTAATTGCCGAGAGAGATTTGAAGCGGGCCGAAAATCTTGTGCAACACTCCAAGGCCATCAACGCTCGACCGAAACGTACTTTCATTTCCAAGAAAAACAAACAATAAATTAAGTAGTAACGAGAGATGCCGGCGTTGAATTGGACCGAAATTTATTGGAAGCGCTGCCGTTAAGTTGGAATATCCCCTCGCTTTCGTTGTAAAATTTTACTGAAGACGCGACTTTTTGTTTTGGCGGCACCTGATCGCATAAATAGTGGCTGGCTTGTGTTATCAATAGCCGGGAGCTGTAGCTTCTAATTCCGTTAGCAATACATTGCATTTTCGCTGCAATCCCCTGAAATATGCGTGTCGATCTTCGAGAAGCGAGATGTATGCTTCTCTCGAGGCTTGCCTGCGTGTACACGCCGCAAGATGGATTTGGAAGCGAGTCTGGACATCCAAAACGGAAGCACGCGTAGCATCTCGAGTAATGGTAGCAAGGGCTGCCGATTCATACTCCTTCCAGCAGGACGATTGGAGCTTCTTTACGATGGAGGTGGCAACCTTTTCTCGTAAATGGGTCTCAAACCGACCAGGAGATGGTGTGCTATCAGGCTTTGAATCGATACCCAAGGATTCCCTTGATAGCGTAATCGCTCCAAAGCCAATGGCAGCAATGAGAACAGAACCAAGCGCCAGAGAGGGAGAAAATATGCCCCGCCCACTTGAGCCATGGCCATGAGAGCGTGTCATGTGGCCATATTTGAAGTACGTTTCGGCAATCGTTCCAAGTGTAGAAGATAGGCCCAACCGAAATGCCAGACCGGTCAAGCCAGTAACTGCGCCAAGGGTACCAAAGCAAGTCGCTATTTGGAATAGTTCCGATCGGATATCAAGAAGAATAGCCCATCCAGAAATCTTAAATGCACTTAGATCGGGTGTGTGACAAGTGGGGCTGTTGGCTAGGTCAGAAAACTTGCCACTGCTAGCTGCCTGAGATGCCAGCTCATCCAAATTGCTCCTGTCGAAAATTTCAGGCAATATTTGACGGGCCTTTATGTGGATACGAGAAGCCCCTTCGCACCCGTGGCCAACCGAAATCGATTTACAGATGGCTAGTTGTGAGACAACGACAGCCTCCAAGGTCTTTGAAAAGGCACAAATCCATCCGGGTATTGAAAAAAGGGCAAAAGAACCGGGCCATTGTGCACCACTCACTTGCACAAGACGGGCAGAAACCAAGAGGCCACCCCCATCAACCAATGCCCCCAATTGTTCCAAAGATGCCGAAAGAGCGGCCCTAGCCGCAATGTCTCCCTCGCAATCCAAATAGGAGGGATCAACAAAAAAGGAAGCGCTTTTTGCCAATTTCTCTTCCAGGGGTGTTTCCTGCGCAGCAATCGCAACAATTCGTCGTATTTCGGCTTCTACCGCAGAAATATTAAATAAAGAAAGATACAAAATATCATTCAAAAGGGCCCCGATGAAAGTTGCAGGAGGGCCTAGTTTTGTTTTTGCCCGCAACTCTGGACTAGTAGCCCAACTAGAGAGAGATTTAAGAAATTGGACAAAATTCTCGGAAAGATCTTGATGTGCAGGGCCAGCCGAACCGCTATGGCAAGCATCTTTGGCACTAACAAAATGAACAAGCCTATCTGCATCTTTGTATGTTGCGGGAAGGAGATTGGCGATTTGCTGCATAACAATTCTTCTGCATTTTTGTTTGTCTTTGATGTCGTCAAACTTATTGACAACGATGAATATCTTTTCCTTTTCCCGCGAAGCTTCGTTTAAAAATTCAGATGCCTACAATTAGAAATCAAAAATAAGAAGTTACCGAAAGAGTCAAATGATTGGCTGCGTTGATGACAAAAATCAGGATGTCAATGTCATCTTGCCTGGCAAACAAACTCATCGTCTGAAAGGTGTCGTGATTAAGCCCTGGAGAATCAATTATGGAGCACGAAAAAGGAAGAATGTCAGATGAATCTGCTGCCTTTTCCTGTTGACTGGCGGAAAAAAATTCAAGATTCGATGAATTTTGGAGAAAAATCCTAAACCAGGCGTATGGCCTTTCAATCCCATCTTCCAAAATGGAATCAATGCTGCCTGCAGAAAGGTGTTGCATTTCTGAGGTAGAGATCGCTCTAAAGGAAGATTTATCTTCCGGGGAATATCCCTCAAGACGTGGGATAGCATGGACCGGGAGTTGGGGGTCAAATGTACAAGGGTGGTCAAGAACAACTTCGCAATAAGCAGAAGTGCATGGCTGCTGGTCTATCACTAGAAACTCGGGCAATCCGAGCAGCGCGTTTATAAGCGTTGACTTTCCCGAATTTACGTCGCCAGTCACCAGGATTCGGACGGAGGAATCAAGCAATCTCAACTTTAGCCGCTCAATGTGGGTAAGCGTCGAATGGAGCTTTAGCAAAAGCAGCCTTCTGGTCATTAGATCATCTTCGAGGATAGAAAGCTGGGGGGAGCGTGCCGATGGAGGCAAAGAAAGATGCAAAATTTTAATTTGTCCACTCCGGATTGGAAATCGAAAAGTAAAGCTGCTTGGAAACGATAGAGACTCACCACCGCTTCCATTGTGATTCTGTCCAGGTGCTGAAATTTCAATTTTAGATTCCAAATCGGAGACAATATCAAGGGTCTCGTTAAGGAGCTTCATCAAAGATTGTTTTCTTGTCTCATAGGTTGATTCTGTTACCAAAGTTTCCTCGCGATGGTGTGAAGAGGGAGTGGAAAAGCTTGGCGAAACCAGGGTAGATGGAAAAGAAGAAAATTGGTTAAATGCATCGATATCCAAATTGGGTACAACATTTCTCTCGGTAGCTACATGCACCTTAGAGGGAAGAATGACACTTGCTTGCATCTGGAAAATCAATTAAAAACCACAGGGTTCCCAAATTAAATTTACAAAAATTGTGTAAATGAACAAGAGCGCCATCTCCTCCAACACCGCCCAATCGGCCAACTCTTCCCAAAATGCTTCTCCTCCAAAGTGGAGACCGTTTCCAGAATTAAGGCCTATTGAGATCATTCAGATCATGGAAGAGCTCCATCTCCCATTATCCGAAGTCGAGCTCACCAAGCCGAGTCCAGCAATTGTGCAACGAATATTTGAGGGGCTTATTGCCCTATTTATGGGCATGGGAAAATCGGATCCCAACTCCTATTCAAATGTACTGTCGCTGCTAGAGTATCCAGAGCTACATTCAGAAGCCCTTGCATTGTCCTCCTTTCATCGCTCTACGTACGTGTTTTTCAATTGCCCTTCATACCCATTATGCTTGGTGTTTTCCTTTTCAACGCCATCATTCCAGGATACATCTATAATCCTGCTTGGGGGTTTGCTTTTGTTTCTTTTCTTATTTGAGTTGTTTTTAACCCCAATTAGATCTCGGTTGATGGAGGCCGTTGGAATAGATGACTTTTCGCTTAGGGATATCATAAGCCCCGTAGGGTCTCGTTTTAGAATGATTCTTTCTGGGGTCATCAATTTTGCAAAATTTCGAGAAGAGCAAATTGCGATCGTCGAAGGCCTTACTATGAAATCGGTGTGCTAGTGTTATTTGTTATCTTTAGTCCAAAATAATACAGGCAAAAAAAAAGGCCGAGTCTGGAAGGCTCCAGCTTCAATCCCGCTTTTTGACGCTAAAGTATACCATTTCTCTTTCATGTAAACTTAGAGATGCTATTGCTGCGGAAGAACCCAAAGTGGCTGTTATTGAGGACCACATAAAGGCCATCTCTGCTGAGCTGAAGGAATTAAAAACAATTCAACTGCAAATGACTTCACAGGTTGACACGCTCAAGGAGGAAAAATCTGCGTTGGACGACAAACTTGTACGCAACAAATTTTGATCCTTTAGTCTTCCGAGCAATTTATTACGTTGCAAATCAAACAAGAGTGCCACAGGCTTCAGGGGCAAATTGTGTCAAACCCAGAGGCTCTATTTAATGTAGATTGCAATCGTTCTTTTTGTAGGCAATCAAAGAATGTTCCGCCGAAATTGACTTGGAAAAGGACCAAATTAGCTCTTTAGAAAAGAGCCATAGAGAGACGCTTTTTAGAGCCGATTCGCTTAACGAGTCCATCTCAGATGTCCAGCGAACGCTAGAGGCGATGAACATCGCCTTGGAGTCCTTGCAAAAGAGGTCTGATGCTGAGCTGTCCTTTGCCCAGCTGTCGGACAAGGAATCCCGTCTTTTGGCGGAATTAAAAGATGCCGAGATCAGGGACGAACAGGCCCGTCGCCAGTTGAGTCTGGCCCTGGAGCGCACCGAAAAGCTGCATTCCAGCCAAGCAACGCGCAGGACACTTTTCGAGTCGTCCCTTGGAACGCTGAAAGCTGAATATGAAGCCCTTTCTCGCGAACGACAATTAATTCAGGAGAAAATAGATGCCAACGAACGGCAATCGCGAGACATTGAACAACAGGTAAGATTTACTTGACTCGCGAAATTTCCTACCCCAACCCCGAGATAATCATCCTAACGCTGCTTCTAGATAAATTCGTTGAAAAAGGCACATCAATCTGATCTCTCAAATTTCCTATCCTCGTACAAATGTCTTAGGCAGCAAATCCACATCTATGCTACCGACCTTAAAAGAGCTATAGGTGCTACAAATTGCAACACAATTCACTCTGAACCCTACGGGAGCAAAAGCACCACCACAGTCACAATGATTAAGGACCCTCCTCTTCAATCCGGTCGTGGCGATGATGAAGAAAACACCATCTCATTGAGCGTAAAGCCTTTGAAGATCTGACTACAGCTTTATTAAATATGCAGCCTTTTCAGTTTACGCAGAAACACCTAGATCGAAGTTAGGGATGAATATTAAACAAATTGCAAGAGATCAAAAAATGTTAGCATAAAAAGACTAATGGCTCACAAACCTTCACGGAATCCACCCTTAAAGCGCTGGGGCATGGTCTTCAGGTAGCGCATTCTACCAGATCCGGTTGTCTTTCTACGGATTCCCTTCTGACTCCAGTTATATTTTCTGATCTTGGGTGATGGGAAACCGCATTGAGCGCATGTTTTCTTCTGAATGTGATATGAACGGTTTCCGCAACGACGGCACAGGGAGTGAGATTTGACGTGGCGTTTACCGAAACTGGATGTTCCTTTTGTCTAAATTGTGAGAATAATATACGAGGAACAAGGTGAAAAATGTCATTTCAATTCCAATTCAACAGATGGAATAAGTGGCATATAGCTGTGATAGACGAAACAGGTGCTGAGAATTACCATGTATCAAAAAATTAAAATTTAAAATTAAAGGTTATTAATAAAAAGATTTGTTTCTATTTTACCAATTTCCTTCGTTCCCTCCGCATATTTCATCCATTGACATGACCAAGTATAACTATAAAATAAGCGAGTCTTCTAAAGGTTTGGATGTTCTTTATTTACTGGATTTTGTAGTTTGTAAATCTTCTGGAAATTACCTCCGAACACACTTTAAGAATACTCATGAAACTGCGATGGCTGTGAAGGGAATGCGCCTGACCAAAGCGCTTGCTTATCTTGCAGACGTTACCGATAAAAAGCAGTGTATTCCATTCCGCCGCTTCAATGGAGGTGTTGGACGTTGTGCTCAAGCCAAGCAACATGGAACCACCCAAGGACGCTGGCCAGTCAAGTCTGTTGACTTTATCCGCACCTTACTTTTGAATGCCAAGGCTAACGGCGAGGTACGCTATTTGAATGCTAATTTTTTCCTCAGTCCAAGGGACTCAATACCGATGCGCTTGTCATCAAGCACATTCAGGTAAACCAGGCCCCAAAACACCGCCGAAGAACCTACCGTGCCCATGGACGCATCAATCCTTATATGAGCACACCATGCCATATTGAAATTGTCTGCGAAGAGCCATCAATGCCGGTACCAAAGGCCTCATCATCTAATGCTATGTCCGTCGTTGCTTAGTTAAATAAATTTATGTCCAATGTGCCACTAATTTTGACCTCTGCATGGCCCCAATCAGCTTGAATAGTCAACCAGACATATTTTGAAAAAGTATCTCGACGATATGCCAGAGTTTATTGAACCCACTCATCCTCCATCGCAATGTCTAAATGTATTTCAGCCTCAGAACTAGCATTTGTCGGCTTTTCATCATTAAGATCATTTTCGGCAATAAGGCCAAAGCTTTGCGAATAAGGAAAAGTACTTTCGCCATCTGGGGAATTGCTTTCTTCATAGGTCTTGTGATCAATAAAATAGCGGGCGTAGTCGTCGGTTAAATTTTCATCTTCTGAAAACATTTCATTGAGGATATCTTGATCCCAGCGTTCCTTGTCAATAAACAGCTCGCGCATTTCCCTTAACACAGACTTAATTTCTGCATCAAAGTTCTTATTTGAAGAAGGATTTTGAGGTTTTTCTGCAGTTTCAAATGTCGGATAAATCGCCGATGTATTATCTGTATTACTTCGCATCCAAACACTGGGAGGCGACATGAGAGATTTTAACATATCCATGGCTACCTTAGAAAAGCTCTCTGGATTAGAATCTTCGTCATTAAATTTTTCGACAACTTGCTGAGGCTCTTGTTCAACAATATGCTTCACATGGAAGGAGTCTAAAGAATTACGAAGCAATTCCCAGGGAAGAAGAATTTGATGCAGTTTAAGGGGAGTTCTCTCTTGAGCCGCATTTTCTTCTGCACATAGCAGCCTGTGTCGCTTTTGTGGACAAATATTTGGGTAGCTTAACTCGAGGAAGAAATCCTTCAATATCGGCGTTTCAATAGTGATATGCCAGGTCGTTATATCATATTCCGTAGAGTTTGCGTCGGGATTAAAATCCTTATTCTCCGTCTGGGTTTCATGTCGCTTATTATTGAGCATGGTCTCCCTGACCACTGAACGGATTGTGGTTGAGTGCGTTGATTTTGTATTGTGTCCCAAATCAATCTTCGTAACAAAATGAACCACCACTTTAATGGGGATATTGAGAGCCTAAAATAAGCGACTTTTAGATACCTTTTTGTAGTTGTCTACGCTTTCAGACCCTTTGGCAAGGTATGAGATGGAAAGCGAGCCTCTCGAAATAGATGGGCTCACATACTGAAGAAGAGGTGCCTTGTAAATTTTAAATGTAGCCGGATCTATAGCAATAGAATCAACTAGCAAAGAATCATCTTCCAGAAAGGAGTGTTGTATGGGAGTGGACTCCGAACCGTCGATATTAAGAGTCCTAGCAGGCACACTAAATTTGCACCCAAGCTCATGCTGATAAGTAAACATCGATTCGGGTTGTGTCTGAAGCCGAGAATTTGCCGAGCCCAGCATGCCCATCATTCCGGAAATGGCCTAAATATGATACCAAAATGATACCCTTTTCATGGACTTGAATAGCTCTGATGATGTAGAGACTCCTGCAGCTGCCGCTGCATCCTCAAGTTCTGAAGAAGATGTAGACGCAAATAAAGAAGCTGAAACTCCAGGAACCACGATCCGTTTAGGAGCTACCGAAGCCATTTGAAAGGACAGCGATTTGGGCAAAAACTTTAAAATATCATGAATGATAGTCTCTCTTTCGGAATCAGAAATTCCATGTTTATGCGAACCTTCGTCTCTAGCTGTGTATAACTTGCAAGCAACTAATTGCGATCTTTCTACAACCACAGGCATGAAGAGGATTTCAGAGGGCTCGTCAAAACCACTAAAGAGTTCAGGTGATGCATTAAGGCTATTCGCAAAAATAACGGACTCCACACAACTTTTCTGATGGTTACGCAATGGTGGCATCCATGAGAGCTCTTTATTTTCGCCTTTATCTCCATTACAGGGGTTAAGGGTCACGCAAAACAGCACAAAAATTGGGAGAAATTGAATGAGCATACCTTCATAAAATATGTTAAACTTTAACGTTTCAATTAAATTATACGATTCAGATGTCTTGCTCAATGTTTTACTTGTTCGCAAAGCCGAATTCGATTAAAAAGCACGCCGTTAGGCACACTCTCTTTGGAACCCCCCTTGACATACTCTCTTTGGAACCCCCCCCTTGACATACTCTCTTTGGAACCCCCCCCTTGACATACTCTCTTTGGAACCCCCCCCTTGATATACTCACTTTGGAACCCCCCTTGATATACTCACTTTGGAACCCCCCTTGATATACTCTCTTTGGAACCCCCCTTGATATACTCTCTTTGAAATTTTCGAATCACAGCGAATACCTTTGGTTATTGTAAAATTTCGTGGTTTCGCAAGTTTTATTCAATTCATATTGGCTAAAAGGAAAGTAAGTTCCGAAAAGATTGAGGCGATTCGGAAGCAGCATCCAAGTCAGAGTGCACCATCTCTTTGACAAGCTCCTATAAATCATTAGAACAGAATAAAGGTACTGGAAATGAGATTTTGGGTTTCCAGCCCAAATGCTTTTTGGCTTTTGATGGATCGCCAAGCAACAGGTCCACCTCAGTAGGTCTGTAGTATTTTGGCGAAATTTTTACAACAACTTGATTTTCTAGCTCTGGGCAGTACCCAACTTCAAACTGTCTGGAGCCTTCCCAGCGGATGGAAAGTCCAGCCTCCGAGAACGCCTTCTCTAAAAATTCTCGCACTGAATGTGTCTCGCCAGTGGCGAGTACAAAATCTTCCGGGTTCTTTTGCTGCAGCATCAACCACATGCCCTAAACATGTCAGCAACGGCGATATTTCATTTGGAATGCAGGATTTTTTTAAAAAAATTATTACCTCCACATAATCTCTGGCATGCCCCCAGTCCCTTTTAGCGTCAAGATTGCCAAGAGTCATACATGAGCTCTTGTTGGTTTTGATTTGAGCAAGAGCATGTGTGATTTTACGAGTGACAAAGGTTCGCCCTTGGAGTTAAAAAGATACTTTACCTCTTCGCGGGCTTTCGTGGTTGAACAAGATTCCGTTGCAAGCAAAAAGGCCATATGCTTCCCGATAGTTTTTCACTATCCAATAAGAGTAGAGCTTTGCAACACCATATGGTGAACGGGGATAAAATGGCGTTGTTTCGTTTTGCGGAACCTCTGTTACTTTTCCAAAAAGCTCGGAGGTCGAGGCCTGAAGCTTATTGGCTAATGAATACCTGGTAGAAACGGACACTATCGACAAGACCGCATATTCTTATTGCTTCCAAAATACGAAGGGTTCCAATGGCATCAACTTGCCCAGTATACTCTGCCATGTCAAAAGATACCATCACATGGGATTGAGCCGCAAGGTTGTATATCTCCGTTGGTCTGATTTTGGACAATAGCATTGAAAGGCATGTTGAATCGGAAAGATCGCCATAGTGCAGGTAAAAATGATCTTTACAAGTAACATCATTGATAATGTGCTCTATTCTTGAAGTATTGAAGGAGGAAGAACGACGTATCAGCCCATGAACATCATATCCCTTTGACAATAGAAATTCGCAAAGATACGATCCATCCTGGCCCGTAATGCCGGTAATAAACGCTACATTTCTTTCAGGATGCATTTCAGGTCCAAAAAATGCGAGATATATATACGCATAGGCAGTATGAAAGAGAGATGCACATATCGGTAGAGATCCAAATTCAAGATCTCATCACCAAAACATACTAATAAGGATCGTGTTAGCTGGGTTCTAGAAAATTGGTAGCTTTTTATAGCTATAATTTAAATCTAGAATGCAATCATCATCGAGGGGCTATGGCCAAATTGGAAAGGCGTTGGACTACGAATCCAGAGATTGCAGGTTCGAGCCCTGCTAGCCTCGTTTTTTAGAATTTAATTATTTATTTTAAAATTATACCAGC